CGTGTCTGTCTCGCCTCAGCAAAGTTTTTTACTTCTGAGTGGATTTTACTTCTGAGCTTGTTTTACTGATTTGTATTTTCTGATTCTTTTAATGCGTACTTATTGGCTATGTTTTTTAAAATAAATGAATAAATGTGCGTAGTTTTCTGTGTGTGAATGTGGGTGCACTGCTTCACGAGAAGATTTAAAAATAAATGAGAGAATAAAATGTTGATTGAAAATGAAGACTGGGCTCGCAAAGGAAAGCTCCGAGACAGAAGGGAAGAAGAAACAGAAAGAAGTAAGAAAGAAAGGGAGGCAGGGAGAGAAAAAAGGGGAAAAGAAGAACGGTTGGAGGATCCAGGACTCCATTGCCCGGAGAAGATAAAGCTAGTTGGACAATTCATTCCAGGAGGTGCTTTCTCCAGCCTGTGGCACGTTGTGAGACAATAGTCACGTCGAATGGATAACATTGAATTAAGGGAGGTGGTGCTGATCGAAGCACTAGATGTTCTTGGTGCCCACAGGAGAGAATTTGGTCACTTCTTAGAAGAATTCAACTAGCAGGTTGAGAGGACAGACCTGATGAGGTTCTGATTGGGGGCACCTCCAAGGAGACCTCGCAGCCTGTGTCCTAGAGACTTGGCCCTTCTGCTCACCACAGGCAGCCAGATCATCTCTCAGTGCCCCTTCCACACCGTCCGTGCAGTGAGGGCCCGAGCCCTGGTGATGCTCAGAGTCAGAACATGGGAGGCACCTGACAGCCCGCTCCTCTCTTCTTCCGCACGAGGAAGCAGACACCTGCATGGGTGAGGGATGCTGACTGCTGGGCTAGGCCAGGACTGAGAGAGCAGTCAGAGCAGCTGAATGAGGGGAATGTTGCCAGGGACAGGGAGGGATCTGGAAATAGTGTAAATATCCCCAAAGCTGTTTTGGTTTTTCTGGAATCCCTAATTCCTGTCACTGAGCCACTTTCTCCCTAAGCCAAGCTCCTTTACACTGCCACTTTGTACACATAAATTCCGAGGGCCGGGATTGAGGGCAAAGCAACACAGGCAACCTGGCTTCCCATCCTAGCTCTGAGGCTTACCTGCCGTGTGACTAAGCAAGTAAGCCATATGCCTGGGCTTCGTTTTCTCCAACTGTGGCATGTGGGCTTGCGGAGGTGGTTGTGAGGTACATAAAACAATACGTGCCATGGGTCTAGCACAGGGATTGCACATAGTCAGAATAAGAAATGGTTGGGCATTGTTATCAATCAGGGCGCATTTATAAACACCTTGTACTGTGCCATTTACTCTAGATACAAAACGAGATCTTCATGGCCAAAGTCAAGTAGATAATTCAGGCAAGAGCAAATATTTATTCAGTGCCAACCCCATGTGTGTTTTTTTAGTTCAAATAATCATACCAACGTCAGTATTCTCTGTGCCTGGGAGAGCCCAGAGGCTCCATCAGCTCAGCCCCATGGAGGGAGCACTTAGGATCAGACCCTGTGATTGAGCCCTGCATGAAGGCCCAAAATTGTTGGTTTCAGCCTTTGAGTGACACTTAGTCTAATTCGTAACTCCAAGAGCCCTTAATTAGTTGAGTATAGTCCCTGCCCATCAGACAATTCAAATGCCAACCCAGGCACTTTCCACTTGAAATGCCAATGGGACTCAGAGAGGGATGTGGCGCTGGCAGCTCTCTGCTCAACAGAAGTCAGAATTCTCTGTAAGAGATTCCCTCCTTGTTTTCCTGGGTATCCAAATACCAGCCGGAAGTGGGAGGGGAGAGTTAAACAGGGACTTTTATATATTACTTATGGCAACATAAATGGCTCTCCAAAGGCAACAAGCCTCTCTCTCTCTCTCTCTCTCTCTCTCTCTCTCTCTCTCTCTCTCTCTCCCTCCCTCCCTCCCTCCCTCTCTCTCTTATTGGATATCCTCAATGGGTATTTTTTCATTGACTTTTTTTTTTTAGAGAGAGAGTGGAAGAAGAGATAGAGAGAAATATCAATGTGAGAGAGACATATCGATTGGTTGCCTCTCATTTGCATCCCAACTGGGGCCTGGAATCAAACCCAAGACCCTTGGGTCTGCAGGCCAACGCTCTAACAATTGAGCCCCACTTTTTTGTTTACTTTTATATATATATAATTGTAGATTCACATACATTCATAAGAAATAGTACAGAAAGGTCCCGATTCCCTTCTTACATGACTATAGCATAGAACAGTTTCTCATCCAGGAAGTAGACAAAATACAACCCGCCAACCTTACTCAGCTTCTATCAGTTTTACAGCTGTGTGTGTGTGTGTGTGTGTGTGTGTGTGTGTGTGTAGTTCTGTGCAATTTTATCACGTGTAGATTCATGTACACACTATGATAGTCAAGATACTGAGCAATTCCTCCTACCCTTTTCCACCCCACTGCCCACAACCATTAATTTGTTCTTCATCTCTATAATTTTGCCACTTCAAAAATGTTACATAAATGGTATCATATAGTATATGATCTTTTGAGACTGGTTTTTCTTTCTCAGCATAATTTCCTTGAAATCCACCCAAGTTATTGAGTGGATCAACAGTTTGTTCCTTTTTGTTGCTGAGTGCTAGTCTATGATATGGATGTACCACATTTGCTTTATTCATTCACCTGACGAAGTATATTTTATTGTGGGTCGTTGTTGTTGTTTTCCAGTTTGAGGCCATTAGAAATAAGGTTTTTGTGTAAATATACACTTTTATTTCTCTGGGATAAATGCTCAAGAGTGCAATTTCTGGGCTGTATGGTATACATAGATTTGGTTTTGTCATAAGGTTTTCCAGCAGGGCGGTACCATTTTACACACCCACCAGCAATGTAGGAAGGATCCAGTGTCTCGTCCCTTGTCAGCATTTGGTGTGATCACTCCTTTTTATTTAACCATTCTTGTAAGCGTGTAGTGATATCTCATTGTGGCTTTAATTTGCATTTCCCTGATGGCTAATGACATTGAACATCTTTTCATGTGCTTATTTGCCATCTGCATATCCTCTTCAATGCAAAGTCTGACGTTGTCTCTTGCCCATGTTCTAATTGGATTGCTTGTTATTTTACTGTTTAGTTTTGAAAGCTTTTCATATATTCCAGATATGCTCTTTGTCAGATATGCGGTTTGCAACCATTTTCTCCCGGCCTGTTTGTCCTTTCTTCTTCCTCTCAGAGCCTTTGAAGAGCGAACACTTTTCATTTTGATGAGGTGCAATTATCAAGTTTCCCTTTTCCAGGTTGTGCTTTTGGTGTTGAATGTAGGCCCTGAAAGGCTAGTCCTTGGTCCAGATGATTTTCTCCTGGTTTTTGTTGTTGTTGTTGTTGTTGTTTTTTCTAAAAGTTTTATAGTTTCATGTCTTACACTAAAGTCTTTGATCCATTTGAGTTTATTTTTATGTAAGATGTGAGATTTGCATCAAGATTCACCTTTTCACTTGTGGGTGTCCAGTTGTTCCAGCACCACTTAAACAGCCCTTTCTCGAAAAGCAACTTGGCCATATTTATCATGAGCCTAAACGATGCCCATACCTGTTTTTCCTATCACTTCTGGGAATTCACTCTAAGGGATTAATGCAGAAACATGAATAAAATCTATAAGCTTGGGAGATAATCACTGTAACATTTTTTTATAAAATTGAAAAATCGGAAGTAATCTAAATGCCCCCAGCTAAGGAATTGGTTAAATAGGGCACACATTGAATAATTTGCAACAATTAAAAATATATTTGCTCAGCCTGGCTAGTATGGCTCAGTGGTTGAGCATCAACCCATAAATTAAAAGCTCACTGGTTCAATTCCTGGTCAGGCCACATACCCAGGTGGTGGGCTCCAACCCTAGTAGAGGGGGTGTGCAGGAAGCACCGGATCAATATTTCTCTCTCATCGGTGTTTCTCTCTATCCCTTCCTCTCTAAAAATCAATTAAAAATAAAATAGAAAATATATTTTTCAATAACTTCCATCCATTCAATCAACGTTTAATCAATATATCACTGAGGATAACACGGTGAGCAAATTAGACACCATTCCTGCCTCTACAAGATCATGGTCTAGAAGGGAGAACAGAGAGAATAATTTTGCCACTTAGAAAACTACAACTGGTAAGCTAAGGGCAAAACAGGATACAAACTTGTAAGCACATGTGACTAAAACTGTGTTAAAATACATGTATGTGGAAACAGAACATTTGTCATTGTTTTAGGATGATTGGATGAAGGGCCATTTTTGTTGTTGTTTTTCATCCTCTATTTCCTATACATCCCATACACTTTCTCTTTATAATAATAACAGTGATAAAGAGAAAAACTTCTATTGAGAAATAGCTTCTTGGCATGAAAAGGTTAGTAATGTCCATTTGAAGAGGTGACAGCTACACGTCCAACCCAAAGGTCACGGAAAAGGCCACCCCAGTTAGGTTTCCCAAGGCCTAGCTAAGTCATTCAGTCAGCGAGGATCAATGAGCATCTGCAAGGCGACCTGTGTCACGTGGTGCGCTCAGCAGGCTTATTTAAGAATAGACAGTCCCTGACCCCTGAGGCACTTGCAACAAACTCTAATCTCATCTTCCTCGTCCTCATTCAGGCTTCATTCTTTGCGGCTTGTGCATTCACTCATAGGACCCTCTTAACCAACCTGCACAGTTGTCAGGGAGGATGTCTTTATCCCCATTTGTCAGACCGTAAGCCACAGATTGCTTAAGTAATTGCCCAAGGCCAAACAGATCACAGATGGCAGGCCTGGGGGTTGGGGGCCTGGGCTTCTACCTTTAAGGCCAGTTCTGTCTCAGAATACCACCCCTGCCCAAGAGCAGCTGTGACAACAGTGGGCTCCAGGCAACAAGCAGTTGGCAGTAGGTCATGAGAATTCAAGCCATGTGGATGAGAAAGCATATACCTGGGGGCAGGGCCTGGGCTCCTGTCTCCTGGTGTGCCTCAGGCTTGGGGGGTCAAGGCAGCAAGGGGATGTGATTTAAACACCTGGGCTCACCTCTCTTCCCTCTGCACAGATGGTGAAGGCAATCCAGGTCCTGAGAATCCACCTGCTGGAGTTGGAGAAAGTCAATGAACTCTGCAAGGACTTTTGTAACCGTTACATCACCTGCCTCAAAACTAAGATGCACAGCGACAACCTGCTCAGGAATGATCTCGGGGGGCCCTATTCCCCCAACCAGCCCTCCATAAATCTTCACTCACAGGTAACCGAGGGGCGGGGTCCTACCTCCTAGGCTTTAGGAAAAGCCAGATGTAGAAATGTCCGCAGGTCCTGGTGATGTACAATAGGACAATGGATTAGACTCATTGGATCCTTTCCCCGGGAGGCTCCTACCCTGGCCAACTCTTCCTCCTGTTCGTCAAGCACCACAGTCCCTTTCTGAGCAGTGCTTACCACGACAGAGCAGTAGTGATGCCTAGGAGGTGACCAGAGCTGAGAGGGGCAATGTGATTGTGAATCCTGACATCTTGGCTGAGAAATGAGCCCAAGAGTTAAGTAGTGGAACGCTTTCCTGGAGGGTGAGGCAGGGATAGAGGTGGTCATGGGTCCGGCCCAGCCCATGGACTTCTCGAGAAGGCTCACTGAGCTCCTGATTTCCTGGGAGGGGTACTTGGGGAAGGGGTCCTGAATCCTGCCCACCCGGGAGAGGAAGATGCTTCCCCTGTGGCGTTCCTTCCTGGTCATTGTTTACTTGCTCACCCTTCCCAGGCCTATCAGTCCCCCTAAGGTTCAGGGCCACTGTAAATGTCACCTCAAGCCACCGTTTCTCAAGGGTCACCTGCCACCTTCATCCTAGGAACTGGGAAGTGTGGAAACGGTGGCTGTGTGTTCAGGGTGAGAATGGGCAGAATATTTTCCCAGAACCTACACACTAAGAAAGCTGCCTGGTGAAACCTTTCTGTCATACTCACTTGTACCCACATAAGCCGTAGGCTTCCTGATTTCTTCCTCTCCCCCTGAGTTCCCGAGTCCAGGACAGACCCATGGGAGGGTCCCCAGGAGGTTTACAGTGGCCTCTGCTCATAAGACAATCAGGCTTGGGGACACAGGTAAAACTTCCAGGAATGACTGAGGGGGGGGGGGGCAGGGGAGGAATGATTGGTGAGAGGAATTGGAAAGAGTGCCTAAGAAAGGTGTCATTTTCAATCCTTAAGTTTTAAGGACCAATACTTACAATCTTAGGTTGGTAGAGGCAGGAGAAGGGACAGGCCAGCATGCCTTGCCCATTTTGACAACAAGTATTACATCCAACCCACCCCGTGGGATCTCTGTGGGACATGGGCAAGAAGTTTATTTCCCCTTCCCATTGCTTGAAATCGCCAAATCACTTTATTACAGATCTGAAAACAGCCGCCCAGACTTGGGCTTGCTAATATTCTCTTGAAATAGACTCATTCCTTCAGAGTCTTATTGTACTTTCCCTTATGATCAAAATTAGCAAGAAACTTGCATAAAAGAGGACAATAATTGCTCAACGAGCATCTCGTTTGTAATTTATTAGTTTCTATTATTGTGGGTTACCATGGCGACGCTGCGCAGCCCGGGTGACGGGAGAGATGCAAGATAGGCGCCGAGGAGGCTGTGAGGCCTCACCAAATGGAGATGCACATTTTTATCAGTAATTTTCATGAAAATAATAAGTGAGGAGTTAATGAGATGGAAAGCCATCCTGTGGCTATTGTGAATTTTTTTTAAGTGTTGATCTAATTAGAATGCATCGGTCAGGAAAAGTAATGAGGGTTTAGTGCCTCACAGAGATGTGAGGATCATATCAGAAAATTAGCACCAGTCTTTGGAAATAATCAGGCCCTTAGAGAGGTGCTGGGTTTCCCCTCTGGGCCCTCCCAACTCTACCCGTGCTCTGGTGTTGGGGGTGCAGCAGGACGGTGGGGACAGAAGGAGGCCAGGGGGCTGGGCAATCACAAGGGCCCCTCAGGGTTGGGGTCCTGAGGCTGACGTGTAAGTCTGGGCAGCAGGGTCACTGTGGAGCTGGCAGAGACGCAGAGGACTCTGGGTGAGCGAGCTCTCAGACGCTGGCTCTAAAGCCAGCCCCTAGGGTCCCTGCATTCAGTGCCTTTGAGATCCAAGGAGAGAGGGAAACACTTTGATTCCTATCGTGACCCTAATCAGATCTCTGCTGGCCATGAAGCAGGCCCTGAGGCAAAAAGGCTCTGATCCACTCAGAAAGAACCCAGACCATCCAAAAACAAAGGCGGCAGGAAAGAGAGGAAAAGACACTCAGCGAGGCATTTCCCAAACTCAGCCTTTCGTTTCCTCTGCAGCACCACCTACATTGTCCAGGCATCAGTGTAAATAAGGTGATTGCACACAGGCTGCTGCCAGGGCTTTCTACCCTGCTCTCCAGCCTGCTCTGGCTTCCTCAGCCTCCCCCCCCACACACACATGCACATACACAATCATACACACACTCTCACACACATGCAAATACAGTCATACACTCACACACATGCATTTGCACACATGCACACAATGGTACACATACATGTGTGTACATGGCCACATATGCATTCACGCATGCGATCATACGTGCGTATACATATACACACACACATTCATCTGTTTGGTGCCACCCCCACAGCTCTGCAGGACCAAATCCAGCTCTTCCCCAAGGGCAGTAACAGGGCTGCCCTCTCAGGGAGAGCCACCCTGGCACTCTACCCAGAATGGACTTTTCTCTTTGGGCCATTTGTGTGGTAAATAGCACATGTGACTCTATATTATAATCACGTGCCTACACCTCATTTTCCTCTCCTGGATCACAACCATGATTTGAGTAGAGACAGTGTTTTATATATTATTATAGCCCATGTCCAGCGGCGGCTATCATGGGACCTTGTGCAGGAGAGGCGGCCAAAAGGAGTAATATGATGAGACAGATGGCGAGAGAAAGCCAGAGGAGAAAGGAGAAATAGAAGAAAGGGAAAGAAAGACAGATGTTGAGGGTTTTGTTCAAGAGGGAGGTAGAGAAAGACTTGGAGGAATTGGAGGAATGGAAGGATTGGAGGAATGGAAGGATTAGAGGAATGGAGGGATTGGAGGAATGGAGGGATTGGAGGAATGAAAGGATTGGAGGGATTGGAGGAATAGAAGGATTGGAGGAATTGGAGGAATGGAAGGATTAGAGGAATGGAGGGATTGGAGGAATGGAAGGTTGGAGGAATGGAGGGATTGAAGGAATGGAGGAATTGGAGGAATGGAGGGATTGGAGGAATGGAGGGATTGGAGAAATGGAAGGATTGGAGGAATGGAAGGATTGGAGGAATGGAATGACTGGAGGAATGGAGGGATTGGAGGAATGGAGGGATTGGAGGGATTGGAAGAATGGAAGGATTGGAGGAAAAGGGAAGAGATTCAGACCTGATGAGGGAAGTGAGGTGATGAAAGGCAGAGGCAGAAAAGATATAAGGAGGACCGGTAGCAATCTGAGATGAAGGACGTGGGTCAGTGCAAAGTCCGAGGTGTATGGAGAGTGGGACCATGTGCTGTCCCCACCGCACCCCTGGTCAGGCTCCCACCATTGTCTCACGGAGGAGGCTACGGTTAGTGTGGGCCTTCCAAGGAAGGAGCGACCCAGGCTCCCAAAGACTGTCCAGTGGAGGAGGCAGCCTTGAGATTCGGGCACAGGAGCCAGTACAGAGAAGAGAGAGAAAACGAGTGTATGTGTGCATGCGTGTGAGTGCATGCATGTGAGTATGCAAGCGTGTGTGTACACATTCGTCATGGTTCGATCTTAATCCCCCAACCTCGAACTAGCCATGAGTGCCAGCCTGGCCTGGGAGGGGTGTCTGCCTCTGGAACATGATCCTGGGGATCAACATCCCTGCAGCCTGCCAGCTTTGTTGCAAACTGCTGCCTCATGGTTTTCCCCGCATGCTAATCACTCAGCCTTGTGTTGCAAAGTAGACGTTCTTTAATCCAAATGTGTCCCCCTCACCACCTCCTCAATATCATACTGTTCCCCCATCCAGCTCTGCGGGGTCAGGGCATGTTCCCTGCTTGGTGAGTTTTCTCTTTGGGGGTGCAACAGGCATGAGAAGTGAGGGAGACTGCTACTACCGAGCTACAGAACTACAAGTCTCAGGGACTCTCTCCTCATCCCTGGAAAGCCATCCTGCACCCTTGCGCCTGATAGTGGGTGTCCAGGCTCCTCAGAGCCCAGGCTTCTTACAGGGGCAGCATCCTCAGCAGGAAGGCTCTATTAGACTCTGACTCAGGGTTCTTCTGTCTTAGATGACACAAGCTACACCATCCACTGGAGAGAACCTAACTCCCACCTCCCTCGGGTATTAATTTGACCTGAAATCCATCCCTCTGTCTCCATGGAGATTTAAATCTCAGCTCTATGCCAGGACAAACCCGGCTGAGCCATGGTTCTCATTCAGTCGCCAAGCATTTGCAGGGCACTTACTGTACGCACCAAACAAGGCCAGTAAGAGGGACTATGAGTCACATCTGAAGAGCTAACCTGTGTGAGCAGTGGAAGACTGGGGGTCATGGGAGTACTGGGGAAGGGCAGGGAAGGAGCTGCCGAAGAGGAGCTGCGGAACAGGGTCTGAACTGAGCAAACCACGTGTGTGGCCTGAGGTTGCTCAGTCACCACTCAGCATCCTTCTTCCTCCCGCAGGGAAAGCCCAGGCCCAACCTGCACACCCTTATAGCCAGGGGGCTAGACAAGCATCAGGAAGGGTTGGCCCACTGTGATTGGAGATGTTGTAGATTCACTGGTCTTGGGAGGACTTCTTGGGGGAGGAAGCATTTCAGGCTTTTTGAAGGGGAGGAGTGTTAGTAGAGTCTCGGGGATCTCTGAAGGTGAGTGCTCCCAGCTAGAGAGAAATCTGGGAGAAGGTAAGAAACAGAGACAACCTTTCAGAATCCCTGGTGAGAAGGAGCATCTATTCAGACACCTACTGAACCTGCTGACTTCCAAGGAGAGAAAAAGAGCTGCAAGAAGCTAATAATGATGTCTACCTGTTGGAAGTGAAAATGGGGTCCTTTCACAAGCATTTCTGGGGACCCAGGCATGAGAGTTGAGGTGATGTGGTGAGATCTATTGGGATGGAAATGGAAAGCTGCCCTGGATGACTCATCTCTGTCTGTCCCGCTGAGGAAAAAGTCCAGCCTTGTCTTCATCAAGCCCAGAAGAAAGGCCACACAGCCCAAAATTATGTGCCTTCGGTTCAGCCCATGTCAGGGCTTAGTTCAGTTCAGTGTTTGGCCCCATCTGGCTGCCTTAGTTTCTGTTCCCGGCTGCGCTCAGATAGGCGCTGCATTGCTGCACCCAGGCTCAGGCCTGGAGCCTGTGTTTGGAGTCTGCGTGGTGGCCACAGGCAGCTGCTGGGACTGCATGGCCGCTATGGAGAGAGAAAGCAGGAACCAATGGGGCGAGAGCCTGTTAGGGGGGTGGGGAGTGAGGCTGGAGAGAGGGTTGTTAAGCTTGGATTACATTATCTCCGGCTTGGAAAGGACTAGGCATTCTTTCAAACTAGCCAATCAACTTCCCAATTTTTTTTTTGTGGGGGGGGGCTTCTTATGCATCCTCCCCCACTAACTAATTCATTTCCTAGATCTGGGAATTTTTGTCCCTTATCCAATCCGACCCTTTTCCCAGGCTAGGCTCCTCTCCTTTATAGTCTCATCTTGGCTTCTACTGCACATGCCTTAAGGTAGAATGACCACCCCTTGGGCCATCTGGGCTTCTATTGGGCATGCAACCAAGAGAGGAATTTGCCCTCCTTCCCCCCAAAATCCAGTACCTGGCTAGCAGTTCCCCTGGGGTAGACTCTTTCTGCTGGTTAAGGGAGTGCTCCAGGATTACCCAAATATTAAGTCCCAAGGGCAGAGGAGTGTGAATGCGCCTGTGGATGCTATTGCTTCTCATGAAGCAGGCCCAATATTTAATTCAGCTTCCTCGTTTATTATGCTCAAAATCTGATTCTCTTTGCTCCCTTTCTTTTTATTATTATTTTTTTTAATTGATTATGGTATCACATAATTGTCCTCATCCCCCCATTCCCATCCCAAACCCCTCCCCACATATACCCCCACCCCTCTGTTGTCCATGGCTACTGGCCAGGCCCATATGCATGCACACAAGTCCTTTGGTTGATCTCTTCCCCTTAACCCCACCCTTCTCTACTTTCCCTCTGAGGTTTGAAAGTCTGATCGCTGCTTCTCTTTCTCTGAGTCTGTTTTTGTTCATCAGTTTATGTTGTTCATTATTTCCTCTAGATGTGTGAGATCATGTGATCCAAGAAATACCCTTGTAAGAACCGAAACTGAGACAAGCCATAATGGTTATGCTGAGAGGCAAATGAATTAGTGCTCCCTTTCTTTATTAATATCTAGCTACCCACACGAACACAATCACCAACGATTTTAAAGGTAGAGGAGAGTAAAGGCAATGGGTAAGTTTGGAGACACATTAATTGAGTATCCAGCCACCTCTTGTGCTGCTCAAAGAAGACCTGGCAGACAAAGGCGAGAGCTTCAACCATTACTGTGCGTACCGGATGCTCTACATGTATTATCTTATTTATTCCTCACACAGAGGCTACGAAGTGCACATTATTTTCTCCATGTTGCACCCAAGGAAAGGGAAGCTCAGAGAAGTTAGGACACTGGCTCATGGTCACACACCTGATAAGCATCGACTCCAGGTCGATGTTCTACTTATAAGTCCTTTTGCCTTTTTTCTGGCACACAGGAAGGAGCACCAAGGGTCCTGGGGCCTGCCTAGGGAGGCACCACCCTGCTTAGCTGTAGCTCAGGGACTTAGAGACTAGAGGGGAGGAGCCCACTTGGGAAGCAAGCATTTGGGTTTGCTAATCTATTGAGAGTAGGGAGAAGAGAGGTGCAAAGTGAACAGAATACTGAGATTCTGGGCTTGGTCAACCAGATGCACTTCAGCCGAGTGCGTCCCTGAGAAAACAGGGGCCTCATCAGTGCCTCCCTCCTTGGGGAAGGTGGACTTACCTATTGACCTACACAAGGAGTTTGCATTTGCAAGATTAGCAGGAGGCCAGGGGGGTGGGGCAGTCACCTCAACCAGGTCCCGGAAGTTCTGCCCAGTGGCCAAGCACCAGCAAGTCTTTCCGGTGGGAGGGGGTAGGAGAAGGTGCCCTACCTGCAAGATCACCAGAGATGAAAAGGGAGCACCCCCAAACCAAACTGAGTAAATCCTGCCTTAGGCATTCAAGCTACCCCTCCTGCCAGTTCCTCCCTGAGCTGGAGGGCTGGGGGCAGGAGGGACCAGGAAGGCGGCCCTGCAGCCGGCCCAGTGAAACCCGAGCAGGCCTCCTTCTGGGAAGGAATGTTCCTTAAGAGCTGCAGCTGTTCCATGTCCCCACCGGCCCGAGTGCCTTTCCCCTGAGACCAAAGCCCCCACAGCAATGGAATCAGAACAGGATTAGGTGGCTCTTTACATGTGACTGGCTTCCCTGAGTTTGGGAACCCGGCTTTTTGAAGGGGCACTGCCAGGAGCGGGTGTCTGGGGACAGTGGCAACCTTCCCGCCCGCTGAGGCACACGCTCACCCTTTCTCAGGCCAAAGCCCAGGCAGGCCGCATATTAACTGAGCATCTACCATGTGCCCAACACTGTGCTAGGTCTTTTGGGGGAATTCAAAGATAGACCTCTCTTTCCCTCAAAAAGCCTGCAACAATAACAGGAAAACTCACAAAAGAAAACCCTACAACCAAACTAGAGAAATACTACACATGTGTAAGAAAAAAGCACATGTGTAGTATTTAGTATATAGTGAGTGGTGCCATCTGTCCAGTGCAGCGGTCGCCAACCTTTCAGATCTCACAGGCCATGGGTGCCCGCTGGTCCAGTGCATCTGGCCGCAGGAAGCATCAGAGTCAGAGGCTGGACCGTGGGGAGCGCTTTCCACAGACGCGCGGGTCTCAGAAGCATCTCCCCAACCCCAGCCCTGGCCAGTCAGAGACACACCCGCCCTCCTGGAGGCCTGGGAGTCTTTGGGGAGCCTCTCTGAGCTGGTGGATCAGCAGAGACGCCTAGTGGCCGGAGGTGTGGATGGCAGACAGCTGGGGCCCCTATCCCCTCAACCCACCCACAGGAGAAACCTTAGGGAATGAATGGCCTTGGTTTTTCTAGTCTTCAGGGGGAGAGACGTTTACAAGTCATCCAGTTTGTCCCCCTTTTCACAGGCATCCGGGTAAGATAAAAATTCCAGCCTTTCAAAGTAGCTCACAAGAAAAGCTGTCCTATCAGTTCTTGCCTTCGCTCCTCATTTCTTCCTCCATCGTGGTTTATTCCGGGAGTGTCTTCCTTTAGTGGAAGTTGAGTCTTCCCGGGCAGCATAAGCTCTCTCCCTATGAGCTGGGAGGATCGGCGGCCGGCGGGTCGGACTCAGTTCCTCCTCGGCTGACTGCAGGCTGACTGCAGGCTGCAGCGTCAGGGTTCATGGTCACTGGCAGGCCACTGTGCACTCCCCACCCCTACTCCCCTTAGCTTCCAGAGGCAATCACAGAGCCTTCGCTCTTTCTTAGTAAGGTCTTTCTTTTAAACAAGTCATCTTTTTGTTGTTGTTCCAAAAATTAGGCTTGGAGTAAAGCTCACCTGGTGACCACTGTGATCCAGCAAAAATGACTGATGGCCCCAGGGAGCGAGGGCCCTCTAGCTGGTCATGGCCAAGTCCAGGGGGTGCAAGCTCTCTGCTGGGGGGGTTGTTTTTTAATATCTTTATTGACTACAGAGAGGAAGGGAGAGGGCAAGAGAGATAGAAGCATCGATGATAGAATCATCCACCAGCTGCCTCCTGCAAGCCCCCACCCCACTGGGGATTGAGCCCCCAACCTGGCCATGTGCCCCGACCTAGAACTGAACTCTAACCTCCTGGTTCATAGGTCGATGCTCAACCACTGAGCCACACTGGCTGGGCTCTCTGCCATTTTGAAGCTGCTGCCTACTGCTCTGCCCCCTCCCGAGGGCTCTGGGCCTCTCTGTGTCTCCAGGGAACAGTAGGAGCAGGAGGCCAGGCTTACGGGGAGGCCTGGGAAGGCTCCTTCCCTCCGACTCCTGAGCCATCACTGTGGCCTCTGAGACATCACTCCGGAAAACTACGAAAGCGTTCAGCTTCTTGGCCTGTTTCCTTCCGGAAAATAAACCTTGCTACTAGGAAGCAAGAGGCCATGGACTCCCCAGTCCGATGGAGTGGCCCCACCACAGAAGCCGGGGAAGTACCCAGGATTCCCCGCGTGTGGGAACATGTCGCCATGTTCCTGGGGGGGGACAAGACAGAGAGCCCTTGGGCTGGATAACCAGCTCCAGCCCCTGGTCTGGACACTTCCAGCGGAGACGTGAGACGAGCTGGAAGTGCCCCTCGCCTCGTTAGGGGAGCTCGGGGGCTGGGAGGAAAGCGCGCCGTGCATGCGGGTCTAGAGAGAGCAGCGTCACCCGGATTGGAGTCTGATGATCCCCGGGAGGAGGCTGAGGGGAAGCTAATAATACCGTGTGCTTAGCCAACAGTTTCTCCCCCAGGGGCTCCCACAGCTGCCACAGCAGCTCCCTCCTCAGAAAGACCTATAGACTGTTCCCAGAGACTCGGAGCCCTGTCGTCTCCATAGAGACAGATTCAACCTGAAATAGCTGCCGAGTCAAGTCTCAAAGCCCGTCAGGGGCCACAGCACCACCCTCAGGGTGCACCCATGGCCAGGACCGTCCTAAGCAGGGAGGCGGGAATGAGGGCACGCGGCGAGGACTGACGCCATGGCAGGTGTGTACCCCACATGAATCTTCCATTGCAAGCTGCCCTGGGACTGCTGGGACAGCTGTCAGTCATGGCCGTGCCACTCCCTAGCTGAGTGACTTCAGCCAAAAAAGGCGGGAAGTGACTTATTGTGTGCCTAAATGCGCCCATCACTGCGCATGTGGGCGGGGCCTGGCTGGCTGACCACAGAGCACACTCTCTGTGGGAGCCTCAGGGGTACACTCAGAGCCGGGATGCCTGGGTTCGAGGCACAGCAGCTTGACTAGGAAATAACTTCCACTTTCTGGACCTCAACTCCTAATCGGGCAAATGTAAAAATGTCTCCCCGGCTGACCACATAGGGAGTGGTGAGATGGAAATGAAATAGCATGCGAGAGGATGCTTTCTACTATTCACGTGTGTGGTGAATGGGGAGTTTCCAGACCCATCTGATCTTTGGGATCCCCTGGGGGAGGTTAGTAAAAGGCAGATTGCTGAGGCTCTGATTCAATGGCCCTGAGAATCTGTATCTTTAAAAACATGCCAGTCCTGTTTGGTGTGGTTCAGTTGGTTGGGTGATATATATGGGAAGGTTGCTGGTTTGATTTCCAGTCAGGGCACATGCTTGGGTCGTGGGCTCTATCCCTTGGGTTGTGCAGGAGGCAGCCAATCAATGGTTTGCTCTCACATCAATGTTTCTTTCTCCCTTTCCTTCTCCCCTTTCCTCTCCTCTCTCTTTAAAAATCAATTTTAAGATCTTTAAAACACACACACACACACACACACACACACACAACCTAGTGTTCATACAGGTTTGTAAATCAGCTCATATCTACAAATGTAAGGGGTGAATATTATTTTCCAGGACCTCAAAGATGCCAAGGTTTTGCTTCTTTCTTCTGCCCAGTTAAGATGCGGCCAGCCTGGCCCCACCCTAGGTCTCCTTCCCTGACGTTCTCCATCCCACTCCTTTGCTGATAGAACTTGGCTGCCTCTCAGAACCTCCCAGCACAGACCCAGGGCAGGAGGACAGGGTAGGCAAGAAAAGGGTCTGCTCCAATACATACATTGCCCTTCTTTACCCAGACAGGGTGAGCTGGCATGGAGGTGGGCCAAGCCGAAAGGCAGAGAAACAGCCAGAGTTTGAATAAGCAGATGAAGTATTTGCTGATGGGAAAGGCTCACTCTTTTGCCTTGGCTAGTAAAATGTGTGTTGGTTGAATCCCAAGGCACACCTCTTGTATTCATTTTACTGATTTTGTGTCTTTCTAACATAGTTGGATGGTTGGGGGTGGGGGAGGAATGTGGGACAACTTTTATGTTTGAAATCCCCCAATATTTTTACCCAATGAGAAACGCCGTGTTGCAGATGAGTTCAAACAAGAGATCATCGAAAAGTCATCATGAGGTTTAGGGTAAGGTGATCAGACGTCCCGCTTTTGGCGGGACAGTCCCGATTTTTAACAATTTGTCCCACGTCCCATGACATTTTAAAACAGTCCCTTAGTTTAGGGTGAGTGCATGGCCGGACCTCCTCCCCTATTAAACTCACCTGCCAGGTTTGCTTCAGCTTCATCATTCGGCAACCATCCTGGGAGAATGGTTGGCTGGGGGGATGGTTAAGAGGAGCTTAACCTTGATGCAGACACATAGGTGAGACTCAGGCTTTCAGGGTTATTGGATGTCAGCACTGGGCAGACATGTTCTGTAAACGGGGGCACTGAGCCCTCAGAAGGACCCTGACTTGCCAGTCCCCAGACCCATTGTTTTTGCCCCGGTGCCCACGCTGTCTTTGTGCTCTGGGTGTGGGTTCACAGACAAGAAAAAGCTAAAGAAGTTCATCACCACCAAACCAGTATTATATGAAATGTTGAAGAGTATTCTTTAAGAACAAAAAGATTTTAAAAAATATGAACAAAATGCCCAGATGAGGCCCAGCTGTGAAGCAAGGCAGGCCGGTGCTGGTGATGGGTCTTGGGCCTTTAATTGATACGTTTGGAGCTCCCTGACCCAGCTGCAACTTGTTTTGAGGGATTTTTTAGCCTGAGCAGGGATTGGTCAGTTAGACGCAAAAGCTGCTGCTCATAGGTTGGGTACGGTTTTCAATTGGATGAGGTGGGTGGGGTCTCAGGGAATTACCAGGGCAAAGCAAACAGAAATGGCTGCCAGTCCTACAACCACGAAGTCCCAGCATAGGAACTATGATCCCTGTGAGTACCTCCTTCTGCGAGTAAGCGGCCCCCGAGTTCCTGCCCAGATGCCAGACAGTCCAGCTCCTCCTGGTATGTGTCTGTGTCCCCCACAGCCTCACCCTGGTGCCGGCTTTTAAGAGGAGCAGCTGGGTCTCCAGCAGCCTCTGAACCCCAATCCGCACTGGTTTTTACAGCCCATACTTCTTACTGCCCAGAGGGACTTCTTTTCCCAGCTCTGGGACCCTGGGCTGGGGGGCTGGTGTGGGGCTGGGGCCCCTCGCTCCTCCAGCCTCAAAGACTATCTCCCTCCTGATTAACAAAAAAAACAGCACCCATGGGTGCCGGCCCGGCCCATTCTGCATCTCTGCACCTCCTACCGATCTCTGTGTGCTTTCTTCTTGCCTTCTCTAGTTGTAGGACTTCATTCAGGCAGCTTTCCAGTGGTTCTGTATTTTAGTTGTAATTTTGATGTGGCTGTGGGAGGCGGCGAGGACACTGCCATCTTCCTTGTCTGTTGGAATATGTGGCTTTTAAAGGCCTTTTGAGAAACTAAGCTTTTGCAAGTCAGACTCGGTGTTAGACTTGAACTGCATCTGGGGGAGGCCAAGTGTTCTGCTCAAACAGTGCACCCCTCTGGCTGGGAGGTGCTCAGTCCCAGAAAGGGGAAGGTCGGGAAAGAGCTGCCCTCCCCTTCCAAGGTCACCGCAGAGGTGAGCCAAGGCCCTGCCAAGCCTGGTGGGTGGGGGAGCGGGAGTGACTCCAGTTCCCCAGGTGCTGCTGCTCTGGGCCAGGCACAGTCCGGAGGGTGGACACGCAGCTCTGAAGGAGATACCCGGGAGTAGGGGGCGGGGGGCTGAAGGGCTGACTCGTGAGATTCATCCATCAGTGCTGCCAGGGTCTGGGAAGCAACCCCTGGGCCTCCCATGCTCCTCCTGGGTCTGTTGCTACAGGCAGGCAGTTATTGGCCAAGGTTTCCTCCAAATACGCGTCTCTCCCCTTCCACACTCTGTCTGGACTGTCCCTGGAGGCTGGAGGCTCAAACTTCTGTCAGTCCTAAAACAAAAGCTGGGAAGCGGGGGTCTTCTTTTCTCCCCAATTTGGTGCTTTTTTTTTTCTTTTTCCTTTTTTTTTTCTTTTTTCTTTTTTCTTTTTTTATATTTTTATTTTTTTTTTTACAGAGGGGAAGGGAGAGGGATAAAGAGTTAGAAACATTGATGAAAGAGAAACATCTATCAGCTGCCTCCTGCACACCCCCTACTGGGGATGTGCCCACAACCAAGGTACATGCCCTTGACTGGAATCGAACCTGGGACCCTTCAGTCCACAGGCCAGTGCTCTATCCGCTGAGCCAAACCAGTCAGGGCTCTTTTCTTTTTTTCTTGATGGTTTACTTGAGTCCATTCAACACATGCCTTAGGAATCCAGCTGTGAGCAGGGAATCCAGCTGCTGGCAGCCAGTGGGCACCTGGTTCTGTAACCGGACAACTAGGGGGTCAGGGCTGCCTGTCACTACTTAAGCCAATGAAGCAGAGATGGGGTTGAATCCTATATGAGCATTTATTCCAGTAATGCCGGCAGTGTGGGAGAGCAGCAGGTCACCCACAAAATCTGCCTCTCCCCATAAGCCAGCTGCTTATATTGGGTAGAAGGACAGAGATTACAGGCATGGGGAAGTAGGCACAGGATAATCATGCAGGCTGGGGGGGGGGGGGGTCTCAGAGGGCGGGCACCCCGGGACCAGATTACAGGCAAAAGGGGCTGGGGTTGTAAAGAGCAGGTGCCTCCAGGACTAGATTGTTTCAGCCACGAGGTTGTAAATCTTTCCATGATGACAGGCAGTTCTCAGGGAAAGGAGGATGGACTGCATTCCGATGTTAGCGCCCATGTCCCAGGGCACATAACTCCCAGCCAGGTTAGAGTGTGCTTTCTCTAATCAGAACAGAGCCATCGTGGTTAACAGAGCATGATTAACATTTCTTATTTTATTTCTTAAAACTAATAGCTAGTCCCCACGATTACATTTCTGCCCCTAACAGCTCAAGCCCTGTTTTCAAATGAGGAGCTGTGGGCAGAGGAGCTGAGACCAGGCAGGTCTTCATGGCTCCTTCCATCACACTTCATCCGCTGCCTGTCTCATCTTCCCCCACCTCTCACTCACCAACCCCTTCCTCACAAACTCCCCAGAACCCAGCCCCCAGGCAGGGAGGGCCCGCTGCCCCTGTGCAGCCTGCAGCCCAGTCTCCTTCCCCTCTGGCCGCAGTCCATTGACAAGTCTGAGCGCTTCCTTGCTCAGCTGGTAAATGGCAATGAGGAGTCAGGAAAAAAAAAAAAGTTCTTTTTAGCTGCTTTGCTTACTGCAGAGAAAATCATCCACTGGGAACATGGGCCTGGCAGGGTGACGTGGGGGAAAGGGACCCTGCTTACAGTGAGAGTCTGTGGGGCTGAGGAAGAGGAAGGAATCCATGCAACGTGCATACAGTTGAGGCTCCTAAGAGATGCCCTGAGGAGATGGGTAATGAAGGGGGTGGGGTGGCTGTTTTTTTTATTATTATTATTTTTTTTAATTTTATTTTATTTTCCCCCCTCCCTCCCTCTCACCCATCCCCTCCCTCCCCAGAGTTTTATGTCCATTGGTTGTATTTATATGCATGTATACAAGTCCTTCAGTTGATCTATTATCTCCCCCAGATCCTCCTCCCCTCCCCACTGAAATTTGACAATCTGCTTGTTGCTTTACTGTCTCTGTATCTATCTTTTGGTTCATCAGTTTATAATGATCTTTATTATCCACAAATGAGTGAGGTCATGTGGTGTTTCTCTTTCATTGATTGGCTTATTTCACTCAGCATGATGTTCTCCAATTCCATCCAGGTTGCTGCAAATGATGAGAATTTCTTCTTTTTTATGGCAGCATAGTATTCCATTGTGTAGATGTACCATAGTTTTTGGATCCAATCATCTGCTGACAGGCACCTAGGCTGTTTCCAAATTCTGGCTATTGTAGATTGTGCTGCTATGAACATAGGGGTGCATATATCTTTTCTGATTGGTGTTTCTAGTTTCTTGGGATATATTCCTAGGAGTGGGATTACTGGATCAAATGGGAGTTCCATTTTCAGTTTTTTGAGGAAATTCCACACTGTTCTCCACAGTGGTTGCACCAGTCTGCATTCCCACCAGCAGTGCACGAGGGTTCCTTTTTCTCCACAACCTCGCCAACACTTGTCGTTTGTTGATTTATTGATGTTGGCCATTCTGACAGGTGTGAGATGGTACTGCATTGTTGTTTTGATTTGCATCTCTCGGATAATTAGTGACTTTGAGCATGTTTTTTATTATTTTCTAACACGTAGCTCTCAGGAGCCAGGCACTGAACTGGGTGCTAAGGATGCAAAGATAAAACTGCAGAGGCTGCTTTGTGTGTGGACTCGGAGTAGAAAGTGCTGGGCTGTAGGTGCGCCCAAAGGTGGGGGGGCGGGGGAGGCACTCGGAGCAGACCCAGTGAGAAGGCTGGCTGGTGCTTCAATGCTGCTTCCCAGCCCCGCTGCACAGGAGAGCCACCAGGGAGCTTTTAAAGCCCAAGCCCGGGCCACAGCCCTGAGCAAGCAGATCAGAATCCCTGGGTCTGGAACCCGGGCATCAATGGTGGGGACTCCATAGTGAGGCCAAGTGGGGAACTCGAGTTCACAATCATTTATGTCTCAGGTTTGCAGGGGAATGGGATGGCTAACTGGGTGACTTGTCGGTTGGTTGGTTGGTTGGTTGGTTTTTATCTTGAGCCTTCTTATTCACTTTTTCTAGAAGCCCCAGAGAATTACCTTTCCAATTTGGGTGTGAGTGTGGGAACAGGAAGGAGGGAGGAGGGGAGGCAGGAAGGGGAGGGAAGAGGAGGAATTGGGCTGTGGCATCTAAGCTCTTAGCAACATTGTCAACGAACCACACCTCCCTCACTGCCAGGACCTCCTGCAGAATTCTCCCAATTCCATGTCCGGAGTCTCCAATAACCCCCAGGGGATTGTGGTCCCAGCCTCAGCGCTCCAGCAGAGCAGCATCGCCATGACAACTGTCAACTCACAAGTGGTGTCAGGTTGGTGCACGGGTCTGTGGGGACACTCCTGGGAAGAGGAAAGGTGGCCCCAAGGGGCCTACGGCGGGGTGAGGGGCAGGGCAGTGCACAGGTGCCCCTGGAAATGGGAGAGGGGCTCCCCGCTGAGTTTGTTAGCTAAAGAGTTCTGTGGTTTATAGATGGTTAGCATCAAGACTTCACTGTATGGTTTGGAACACATGTGGGTCAAAGTCTCATGAGCCCCTCAGAGGCCAAGCAAGGTGATCATCCTTTCCCCAGTACGCACCCCCATCCTGCCCCTTCCCACAGGGGCTGAGTACTTCCAGAGCAGAAAGTGCCTCCATGACAGGGGACACAAAACTGGTTGTCTCCTCAGGTGGAGCCTTATACCAGCCAGTTACCATGGTAACCTCCCAGGGTCAGGTGGTCACCCAAGCAATCCCCCAGGGAGCCATCCAGATCCAGAACACACAGGTGAGTGTGTGTCCCAGCGTGTGCACGTTTGCATGGGTGTGGGGGAGGGCAACCAACCAAGGTCACTTACCACCTGGTAGGCACCTCACACAAGTTACTCATTTACTCCCCATTATTCTCCTAAGAGGTAACATCACCCCCACTTTCCAGTTAAGAAGCTGGGTGCTGGAGAGGTTTTATCATTTTCTGCGATTTTGCTGCCTCCCCATTACATCCAAGGCTCCTGTTTCTGATCCGGAGCTCAGTGAGCAGAGGGGTCTGGGGAGACCTCTCTGAGCCTCAGAGTTCTTATCCACCCAGCAGGTACGCACAGCTCCACAACCTACAGGCTGCTGTGCGGGCTCACCATGGTAACAGACAGGAAGTCACTTGGCAAACTGTAAACCCTTCCAGAAAGGCTTAACTATTGGATGGTTTATGGTTTCCTCTGTCTCTTCTCTCACCCCTTCTCCACATCCCCTCTCCCTCCTTCTCCATTCTGTGAGGTGAAGGGAAAGGTGACCTCCCAGGGCCCTAGAGTGAGCTGGGAAGGGGGCTGGCAGCAAGAGCCTGCCATCATCACCATGGCAACAGGTCCCTAGCTGCCAGTCTGCCAGGCTGCTGATGCTGACTTTTTCTCCACGTGCCCTGAAGGTTAACCTTGACCTCACTTCCCTCCTGGACAATGAGGATAAGAAGTCCAAGAACAAGCGAGGAGTCTTGCCCAAGCACGCCACCAATATCATGCGTTCTTGGCTCTTCCAGCATCTCATGGTGAGTGTGTGTGGGTGCAGCGGCACCCCCAGGTCCACAGAGGGCGTGGCCTCAGAGAGAGGCTCTCTGGTTGGGTATCATCTTCCCGACCCAGGTCAGAGGGAAGCTCCCACGAGAACTCAAGCTGGGAGTCTGTCCCTAGTGCTTGCTGCTGCTGCCTTAGAAAAAGGGCGACTCCAGAGGGTGTGGGACAGACATATTCTGACTTAAATACTGGGAGTGTTCGGAACTGTTTGGTGAACAGAGTGAAATTCTGTGGGGCCGGGCCTGAGCTTCCTGGTCCAGAACCCACCTCCCAGGCAGCCCACTCACCCTGCCCTTCTCTTAAGGAGGAAATGTTCATTCTCTGCTCTTCTGGGTCCCGGAGTCCCCACTGCTGGGGAAGCTGAGGTGTGTGTCCCCCTCTTGCGTGGCGCCCCAGCACATTGCAGGGGGCCATGGTTGAGCCCATAGGCTCTGGAGGGGCACGGGCCGAGATCCTGGCTTCCTCGCATGTCCGGCTCAGCTCTGTGATGCAGAGCAAAGGCTTTCATAAGCCTTGTGGCCACTTTCGTGAAATGGAGACAGCGCCTTGGGTTTAACTGTGTGTGTGTAAAGTGCCCACTGTGTGCACTGAGATGGAGCTGTGTGCTTGTAGGGCTCGTTGAAATAGCGACTTCGGTTGACCGTCAGGAATTACCTCGATGACTTTAGCCCCTAGCACCATCTCAGAGCCAAAGACCAGTGACTGTCTGGGCTGAGTGTGAGAGAGTGTGTGCGCACACATATGTGAATGTCTGTGTCTGTCCAGGATGCGGAGATGGTGTCTGTGAACATGGATGGGCTCTCAGCCGCCTGGAAGCGTGGCCTGGCAGGACATAGACACACAGATGCAGGACAGACAGCAAAGTTGGGACTAGAACTAGAGACATATTTTGGCCTGTGAAGTGTGGGAAGAACCGAGTCAGGAATTTCTTTCTCAATCAAATGGATTATGGGAATCAGTCAGTCCATCCATCAAGGCACAGTTCTTCACTGAAGTGGGAGGGCCTCCATAGCCATGAGCCTGGGCCTGGCAGTGCTCTCAGATGCGGGGCCCCAAGGACTGCCTCAGAGGGGGCTGTGCACTGCATGGCCAGGAGAACTGCCCTGGGGGCTCACTGTGGGGCCGGGGCTTGGCATCTCCCCACATATCCCTCTTCCCTCTCACCCCCAGGGACTTGGGGCCCCCAGACGTTCGCTGAGGGAATATAGTCTGAAAACACCCCCAGGGAACAAATGGTAACCTACTTTGGAGAGAAGGGGTGGACAGCTGAGAATTCAGGTGAGAAGAGGTTGGAACGACTCCCAGGACAGGAGCCAGGGCCAGCCCAGGCCACCCGGGAGCAGCCCTGATGGGAGCTGGAGTTCACAGAGATGGCGGGGAGCTACGTCGGCCTGCCCCGATGTCACGCTGCCAGAGGCTGTCTGCAGCCTTGTGCTGTGGGAGGTAGGACTGCAGGGTCCAGGGTGTGGGAGAAGCTCACGGGCCAAACCTGAGCTCAGATCTAGGCCTCAGCCCTCACCGCCACCTGGCCACGCCTACCTCTGCGCAGGAGATGATGAAGCAGTGGATGCATCGCTGAGACCCTAGCACACTGTGGTGCTTAATGATGTCAGCTCCCCTTCCTTCTCTCCTTCCTCTCCTCCCACCTCCCTCCCATGTTGAAGACTGATGTGAACATACCTTCAAACTCACTTCTGAGGGGGAGAACAGGCAGGTGCAGGAGGGAGAGGAGGCTGCAAGGTGATTTCCGTGCACAGAGCCCTTACTTCCAGGCCAGCACCCCTCAGGGACTCCCATCACCCGCTGTGGGCGCCTCCTCAGCCACCTGCCACTCCCCGTGTGCAGCTCATGAGACTGGAGGGCCATCCGCTGAGTCCCTCCTGGCTGGGCCTCCCCTCTGACCTCAGTCCATGTCCTACCTCTCGGCCCTCCCTGCTGAGCCTCCTCTGTAGCTCACGGTCTTTTCTTTCCACTCCCACCAGATGGGATGGCAGAGGAAGGTCAAGGTGGACAGGGAGGAGGAGCCAGGGGGCTCCCCCACAGGGACCTGGGACAGTGGGAGGACTTGTTGAAAAGCATGAGTAAGCTTTCCCTGCCCACAACCTTCCCACCCCCTGGACCCTCTCCAGCGCAGAGAGCACACAAGCGCAGGTGCTATTAATAAAGCACTTAACCCTGGCAGAGTCCTCCCCCGTTAATGCCTTCCCCGCGGCAGCCATCGGCAGAGGACAAGGGAGTGACCGCTGGGCCTTTGGGAGGGAGGGGAGGAGTCACACTTAAGACACGATCGTTCCCTCTCAGCTGGCTGGAACAGTGAACAGGTTTTTGAGGCAAAGACCCCGTATTTTGTGAATCAATTAGAGTCAGGTGGCTGGCCTGTGTCTGATCTGTTACACCTGCTGAGTTCGCCATCAGGGGATCCTAAGAAAAGGGACCAGTGCTGCTCCTTGCCTGTCCTGTATGGACGTGTGTGTGTGTCAGCTTCCATGTCTTAGGTCTCTGACTCGGCAGTAAATGCTCCATAACGGGGAGTGGATGTTACTCCTCCCACGTGTCCTGCCCCCTCCAGAAGCGTGGGGAACTGTAGGTTCCACAGTCAGCGTGTTCTTCCTTCTCAGTGCGCAGGGGGCGCTGTGTGCTTGCAGGGCGGGGTTGTCCTGAGCTGTCCCCAAACACATCTGATCACTAAGTCTCCGTTTTATCTGTTGCTTTGGAGAACAGCCCTGAGGCTTGTTCTGGGGAGGTGCAGCCCCATTTTAGGAAAGAGGGGAGAAGAGGGCAGAACGTCAGCACAAGGGATGTTTTCATTCCGGTGCAGCGGGACCACAAATAGGTCGATTGGTTCACTGGAGACCGCTGGTTAAAGAAAGAACCACCGAAAAGGCACATTTTTACTTTAGTTTAAAATATATACATTTATTTATTTTAAAAAGGCATACATATAGGTTATATGGAACCAAGATCTTTTTCTAATTCAAATTTGTCATTTTACTTGCATGAATCTCTCCTATACTATAACATCTATAAATTCCATCTTTGTTTAAAGTGGAATAAGAATTTTGACATTTGGCAAGTAGTCTCGCTGCCGGATCTTCCTGGATTTTTATTGTGTGTTCCAGTTTTTTAACATCTGCCTCACTGCACCATACTGCGTGGTATTTCCAGAGCATTCTATTTAGGGTTTTCTGGTGCGTGTGTGTGTGTGTGTGTGTGTGTGTGTGTGTTGTTGTTGTTGTTGTTGTTTCTTTAGTAACAATAACTCCTTTTTGCACTCGTATTTCATTGATTTGCAGAATGGGTGGTTACATTACATGGTTACACTAGCACGTGTAACTGGCACAAGCCAATTTCGTACAAACACCGCTGACTTCCTGATAAGCAGATAAATTCGCCAATGAACTTCCTGCAAAGTAGCCTGTGTATCTCGACCATTCAGGGCAGAGTGGGCACAAGTCCTGCTGGTCTGCAGCGGACACGGGGCCTGGTACCATCTGAAACGTGGCTACCGGAGGTCGGGCCTCAGAACCTGTCGCAGATGCTGGCTCCCTGCTGTCTTGTTTCTCGGGGGGAAGTTGGGACTCTGGCCCCCTTTGTCCTGTGTCGCTTCTTACCGTGGCCACTGCTCCGTGGCATTAGCAGCTTCAGAAATGTGTCCCGGTGACAGGAGGCTCCTGGGACGGAGACTGCGCCCTGGCCTTTTGCTGTTAGGCCGGTGTCATCCGTTAGCTGCCGCGCTGCCGGTCCCTGAAGCACCAGTGATATTTCTTGCTCTCGCATTTGGGCTGGAAGAGGCTAGACTCCTGCTGGAAGCAGTGGTTCCCTAGAAACCCAGAGCGGGTGAGAAATGCAGCAGAGGGCCCGTACTTCCTCCCCAGCTTCTGGCCTGTCCCCCACTCCAGATCCCAGTCTCTTCCTGCCCTGCTGGGTGATTCTGCTGATTTCCATCCAAAATATGGCTGTTTTCTGGGTTATAGCCCCTTCCCCCCTCCCCACTCCAACACATGAGCAGCTTTACAGAATATTCTGTGTGGAAAAGGGGTGGGGGGAAACCAGCCCTAGCAAGCCCCCTCCCCCCACCCATCAAAGGAGCTGCCCTGCATGACCCCCACAGTGAGCCAGACCTCTGCTAGCATCTTCACCATTTCAGGATCCACCCAGCCCCGCAGAAGGTGGGCACCACTATTATCCATATTTTACAAATAAGGCAACTAGTCTCAAGGAAGGTACCACGTGCCCCAAGGCCCCGCACGCAGGATTTGAACCCATGTCTGTGTAACTCGAGGCTCTGCTTTCTTGCCCACTGGGCTGTACAGCTTCCACCATGACCCAGGAACCCATGGCATCTCTGGGCTCCGGGCAGGTGGGACAAGGGGACCCCAGCTTTCAGCTGAAGCACAAAGCCCGGTCCTGGGAGAGGCGTGGGGTTTTATATGCCCGGCCCTAGTTCCAGATCCCGCGAGGCTGCCCTGTAGTCCCTTCCTGTCTTCTCCCTTCCTGCTCATCACATTGGCAAGCCCGGTCAGCGCCCAGCCAGGGCCACAGTCTGCTCTGCTGGCTGCCGTCCACCCCACATCTTCTGGGGGGGGGGCGGCTCTCCATGGGCCACACTGAGCCGGGGCCTGGCCCCAGGCCCCCCTGAGCCCTCTGTCATCACAAGAGCCGAGGGCAGGAAAAGCACCAGGAGGCTTCCCTGTGTGATTCTTTTATTGAAATATAACTCACACGTCATAAAACCCACACTTTCCCACTGCACCCTTCAGAGCTTTGTGGTGCACTCACAGGCCTGTGTCATCGTCCCCACTGTCTATCCCAGAATATCTCCTCGTCCCTGAGCGAAATCGGTACCGTTAGCATCACTCCCCAGCCCCCAGACACTTCCTGTCGCTGTGGGTCGGCCTGTTCCGTATATCCCCCGTGAACGGAGTCCTATAATTGGGGTATTTTGTGACTGTCCTGACCCTCGGCATAATGTTTTCACGGCTCCCTCGTCTTGTGACAAGTATCAGTGCCTCATTCCATGGTGCCGCTGGCCAGGGCGCTCTGGTTTGAACGGACCGCGGCTTGTTCATCCTCCCATCCGCTGATGGACAGCGGTTCCGAGTAACGCCGCTCAGAGTGAGCACTCGGATCTGCCCAGGATTCCGAGCCCGTCCCAGGCTTAGGGACTCCGACGGACTCCCAGCTCCCTCGCCCACAGCGCTGGGCTCACCCCTGAGGGGAATCGGGGTACAGCCGGGGCCCTGCACGTGGGCTCCTGGTCACAGGGGTGAGGAGGTGAAAGCTAGCAGCTGCCTCCGCACCGCGGTGTCGCCTTCAGTCAGTCAGCAGACAGGCTTCACGTGGCTGCCACCTTCACTGTGCCTCGCATCGCATTAGCCTGTTAACCGGGGAGTTCCCTTGTTAATGACACAATGAATAACGGGCGCATACTCTTTCACTAGGATGTGTCAGTACGTCACGCCCGGTGGACGTCATTTCATATTATTATTTTTTATTTATACTTAATTAAAATAAATGAAATATATATTTTTTCGTTTATTTACATATAAAGCACAAAGGAAAATACAAAATTACAAACAAATGCAGAAAAGAATACCAACAAAAAAATGGAAACATCTAATTAAAAAATTATAAATTTTACAAAAAATTATAAAGATTACAAAAAAATATATACTGTCCGTTTCAGGGCACAACATATATTTCAAGGACGTATTCATATGCCCTCCTCGTTCCAGATATTGTTTACGTTTGACGTATTTATAAGTCCTGCTCGGTTAACAGGTTAAGTTCTAAGGGCATTATTACCTTTATCTCCGTCAGAGACCCGCTGACAGCATCCATCCGCGAGTCTCTTACAAACAAAACAGTGCGGCCGGAGGAGAGGACCCGGTACCTGGAGGCAGGATCCGGAGTTGAGTTTCACTGCCCTGTCCACCTGCCAGGGGGCCTGGGCCTCAGTCTCCTCAGCTGTAAAATGGGGTCTCAGGCTGCAGCCAGTAGGGCTGTTGTGGAGCTAGAATGAGACGAGGGTGTGAAAGCCTCTGTCCGATGCCCACACAGCACTGCTGCAGCTGCCTCCAGTCTCGCTCCGGGACCCCTCAGCAGCCCTGCCTTGGCAAATGCAGAGAGAAATCCTGACGCTTCTAGAGAATCTGGGAAGGAAAAAAAAAAAAAAAAGAAGAAGAAGAAAAGCTTAAAAAGCAAGAAAATGGCTTAGGGAGACTGAACCATTCTTGATCCAAAATAGCTCGCCTGCTTTTTCCTTTGACGTCCTCGCTGTCTGAGGTTTCACTCATCAGAGATGGGTTTAAAACTGTAAAATCCCTTCCCAAGCAGATGCCTCGGGCATCCAGGAGGCCATCACTCATTCACACTTAGTGTGAATTATCCAAAGCTGCCTCTCCGCTCCCCCTCAGCTGCGACCAGCCTCCTGGGAGCAGCCAGCGTGGAAGGCTGGGACCTGTTTGACTGGTGGCACAGCCTTTTGAGAAGACCAGCCAGAATGGGGTGCTAGAGGAAGGGTTTCTAGCAGTTCTTTACCCCCCTCCTCCCTCCCCTCCCCCACCCTGTCCCCCTAGACCCCTGACCTTGCTGAGAATCTGACAAAAGCTTTGTCTGCATCATCACAAATGTAGTTCCAGGAAGTAGACACTGAAGTCCAGAAGCCAGAGGCCTCCGACTCAGAATGCTGTGTCAGAAAGCACAGGCCAGTCCGGGGTGGGGGTGGGGGTGGGGGAGAGAAGGGAAGGGAGGGGGCGTGCACAGAAAAGAAGCCGGCAAAGTCTGTGCTGACCCATCTCAGAGAGCCCCCAGGCCTGGCTCTGTCCCCTGAAAGCAGATCTCTTGTCTGCCCTTCCCTCCGCCAGAACAGCCATCTCTAACCCAACGGGCCTTGGAGGGGAGCCCGGAAAACAGCTGTTTTCAAAATAGCGTGTTGCCATGGGAAAATGTGATCTAAATCCTAATTAACGTATCTGCCCACCAGCACCAAGGCTCCAGGTATGGGGCGTGATTTCAGCCCTCGGGGGCATGGTCATTTAACTAGGGGATAAATTATGCACATTCACCTGTGTGGTCAGCCCGAAATCAGGTGCAGTTATACAAACACGCGTGCCCAAAGGTTGGGGAGTGGAGGAATCCGCAGAGGTGAGAGGAGTAGACCATCTGTGCTGTGGACACGTCTAGGATGGTGTGTGCAGGGCTGAGCATCAGATTTCAGAAGGTCCTTTGCTGAGCAGCCATGATGGGGAGTGTCTGCTCAGATTAACAGGAAACTTGTCATATGACGGAGCGTCCAGGGCTGATGGGTCTGTGGAAAAGGCTGGCTGGTTGAGGGCCGGGGTCAGCAAACTGCGGCTCGCGAGCCACATGCGGCTCTTTGGCCCCTTGAGTGTGTGGCTCTTCCTCAAAATACCGCAGTCTGGGCGAGTCTATTTTGAAGAAGTGGTGTTAGAAGAAGTTTAAGTTTAAAAAATTTGGCTCTCCAAAGAAATTCCAGTTGTACTGTTGATATTTGGCTCTGTTGACTTATGAGTTTGCCGACCATGTCTAAGGCTCTGGAGGCAGGCAGACCTGAGACTGAACCCACCTCTATCTTTATTTGCCATGTGACCTTGAACGGGTCCATTGATTTCAGTAAGATGGGGATGATGAGGCCCACCGTGGAGAGGATATCAGTGATGAGTTAAAGCACAGCGCCTGGCGGAGGCGCCGGGGCAGAGCTGGGTGAATGTGGTTAAAGACACAGGGCGCGAACTGGGCTCTTTACCACTTGTGTGACCTGCGGCCAGTCTCTAACCCCTGGCTCGGTTTTCCCGTGTGTGTGAAATGGGAACAATGATTCCTGTGTCATAGGTGCCCGGAGAAGCCGGTGAGAGTTCACGTCCAGCAGCTCACTGAGGACCCTGTGGGTTCTGTAGTGTCTGAGTTAGCCAAAACCTTTAGGGATGTAGTGAGGAGTGGAACGCCTCTTACGAGGGGAGCAGCCGAGCCGCGGCCGGCTGTGGGGCGTCAGAGAGTCGGTGCTCTGAGGCTGGATGAGCAGGGAGACGGGCTTGAGTTCAACAGAAACTCACAGGCCTTCAGAGTGGAGGGTGAATGACCTCAGCAGAGCCCGGCTCCCCTGCCGTTGGGATGGCACACATCCAGGCTGCTTGTAGCTGGGCATTGGCCAGGGACTCCACCACGCCACCCCTGGGGGGACGGAGGCTAAGGACGACACCCCTGCACACCTGTTCTTTATTGTGGGGGCGCTGCTGAAAGTCTGGTGGGAAGTAACCCTGCCCGGGGGTGGGGGAGGGAGGGCTGCCCTCTGACCTCCAGGACGTGTGCAGCAGGAGACAGTAGTTAACAGGATTCAGTGGAGGAGCTGGGGTGTGGGCTGCTGCGCCTGGAAGGGGGCTAGGGTTCAGGATTGGGAGGGACGAGGAGGAGGGGGATCATTTGGATTCTAATTACTCCTGACAGGTCATCAGTGTCCCTGACTGGCCGGCAGTTCCTTCTGGCCAAAGGGACCGAGCCATCCTCCCAGCTGAGAGATGTCAGTGTCCTGTCCCTTTTTCTCCTCCGTGCAGCCTGGGGAGCCTGTGGCACCTGGGCTGTGGCTGCTGCCTCTCGGAATAGAGCAGCTCAGGCCCCCGCACCCGCAGCCCCAGGGTGGGAGGCACACCTGGAGGCGGGGAGTGAGGCCCGCTGGGCTCCGGCTGCCTTCCTCTCTCAGTGCGAGGGGGGGCATCAGGCCTTGCATTTCTGCCTGGGACACGTCAGGACGTAGGGAGGACAGGCCCCGGAAGCTGCCCTCCGCCTCCCCAGGAAGGATGGAGTGCTAAGGCATGCCCTAGGGCAGCCGCAGTCCAGGGTGTGTGCCACAGCGGCCGGTGTCACAGCAGCAAGTCCCAGGGGAGGAGAGAAGATCGGGGTCTCCATTCAAAAACCAGGGCATGTTGTCCAAGGCCAGTCAGCTGCAGGGTTGGATGGAGCTGAGCTGAAAAGAGGGATGTGGGAGACTGGCTTACATTGAGCCCCAGAACACTCCACGGGAGCCTGCAGCTCAGATTCCCCCCCCCCCCCCCAAAAAAAAAACAGGGCCAGGGGAGATTTCTAACCTCAGAGCACCCCCCCCCCCCCCCCAGGAAACCAGAGACCCAGGTTAGAAGGAAATGCCCCCATCACGTGACCCAGGTTAGAAAGAAACACCCCATCATGTGACCCAGCTGGGAGGAAACGCTCCCATCATGTGCGCGGGGGCTGGTGCGGTCCAGCAACCAGGAAGGGACACCCTCTGCAGAAGGGAGCACCCTCCTGCAGGTGCCGAAGGGCCGCTGGGGCCCTTGGCAGAGACGGACAGTGACCTGCGGCCTTTACGGAGATGGAGCCACGTGCCCAGCGGCAGGCTTACCTTCTGTCATTTACGTAACAAACACTCGCAGACTGTGCCGGCAGCATCCCGCGCCCCTTCCAAATACTACCTCGTTTCATCTTCACTGTGGCCCCGAGGGAGGTGGAACTCTCCCCCCATTTTCCGGGAGAGGAAAGAGTAAGGAGCCGAAGGCCTCAAGCTGGTGAGAGACCAGGATGCAGAGCCGGCAGGCGGGCCCCTAGTCCGTGTTCTCACCTGCTTCTCCCAGCTGCCTCCCAGACTCCGCCCCAGAGCTGGGCAGCGCGCCCCCACCCGACAGGCTCCTGCGTACCCTCCCCCGCTGATGAGGTGGGGGTGGAGAGGAAGGACCGAACCCTTTTCTCAAACACTCGCAGCCTGTCTCATTGGGCGGCCACCATCCTGGGGGATGCTGAGGAGGGTGGGCGCTCGGAACTCCCGGGAGGGGCAGCAGGAGGGGTGGGCGGGTCAGGAGCGGGTTAAGAAGGCACCATCTTGCCTCAGGGTGAAGGATGTTGAAACAGCGCCCAGAGGGAGGAGAGCAGCTTTGAGATTACAGGATGGGGTCGGGGGGAAGATGGGAAATTGTTACAAGGGAAAGATAGACGGCAGAGAGAATGGACAGCTATGGTCACACAAAAATGCCAAAAATGAGTCTCACGGCTACACTGTCGAGTCAGAGATACATGCTAGATGGCTCGTTTATAGGGCCCCAAAGCCAAACCATAATGTGTCAGGATGTAACATGGACAAAAAAGGCAAGGACGGAAGTACCATAAAAACCAGGTTATCATTGGGGGTAGTGTAAGGTGACCAGACGTCACGATTTTTAACAATTCGTCCCGCGTCCCGCGGCATTTTAAAGAAGTCCAAAAGATTTAAAAGAATCTTTCCAAACATCGGGACTTTTTTAAAATGCCACGGGACGGGGTACAAATAGTTAAAAATCGGAACTGTCCCACCAAAAGCAGGACATCGGGTCACCTTAGGGTAGTGACGGTGGGGGTTCCGGCTGCTGTCAGTCCCCTCTTTTTTGACCTGGGTGGTGGTCACATGGGTGTCTGTGATGATGCGTGAAGCTACACGTTCGAGTCGTTTGTGCTTTTCTGTGTGTGCTCAGGTCGGGGGGAGAGGTGTAAGCACAGAGCCCAGGAAAGGACGCTCTGAGCCGGGGCGGCTGCAGGAGGCGGCTCTCCTTGTGCTTCGCTCCATTCTAAAGGCTGTTCAGCCATTAGCATCTCTGAGCCAGGGGGCGCCGGCTGTTGATGAGACAAGGGATGTTTCCGGGCCTCGCCATCCGGCTGCCCCCTCTGGTTGGCCTCTGAGCCTCCTAGAGCAGAGGTCGGTCGGCAAACTGCGGCTCTTTGGCCCTTTGAGTGTGGCTCTTCTACAAAATACCACGTGCGGCGCACACATACAGTGCGATTGAAACTTCATGGCCCAGGCGCAGAAGTCGGTTTTCGGCCTGGGGGGGAGTCTGTTTTGAAAAAGTGGCGTTCGAACACGCACGTGGCTTGCGTGCTGCGGTTTGCCGACCACTGGCCTAGAGCAATGTAGAGCTGACAGCATGGGCCTCAGGCCTCGCCCACGTGGTTTGGTGAGAGGGTGCGGCTGGCCCTGGGCGATGCCGGCTCCGGCTGAGGACACGGTGGAGGCTCCATCCTGGGCTGTGTCCCGCAGTAACCTGGCCGGCCTGTGCTTCTCGGCATGGGCTGGGGGTGGAAGGCAGTCTCGTGGTGGCTCTCAGTGACAGCAGTGGCCTGGCCCCTCTCCACCCGCCCTGGCCAAGCCTCCTTCTGACCCAGGCAGACCCACTCTTAAAACTGAAGGACGCCTCAGCTTCAGCTGAGCCGGAGACTTTGGCCATGGGCTGCGAAGAGAGGTGTCAGGGAGGCAGGGACCATCTGGGTTAGATTCCCTGCGTCACTCCTCCTCTAGAGACTAAACACTCATCGAGATAGGATGCCTGGGAGGCGTCGCCCCACTGTCTGGAGTGAGCCCATGGAGGGCGCAGCTTTAGTGGCCTAGCGCATGGAACCGCCCCCCCAACGCCTTAATTTCTGTTTGCTCGGAGGAAACTAAGACATCAGCCAACCAGTCGCCAAGGTCACCCCGCTGATGAGTGCTGGGTGGCACTGACCTCCCCAGGGCCATCCTGAGCCACAGGCAGCGCTCCTAGTCACACGTGGCCCCACGCGGGCCCTGGGGGTGGGGGGTGGGGGCGGGGGACCTGTCCTTTTCCAGCTCGTCTGCGCCCTTTTCCAGGAGGAATTATCTACTTCCGGAGGCCGCTGCCTGTGCCTCCCTCCCGGGGTCCCCCAGGGAGCCCCTGAGCAGCCGCACGGCGAGACGGCCCCGGTCCCTCTGGGTTCCTGCCCTGCCCTTGGCCCCGAGTCCTTCCAGTGGTGCTAAAAGTAGCACGGCCGGGCCAGGGCTGCGCGGGGCCAGGCTATTTTGACTGTGTCCTCAGGAACCATCTGCTCTGAGCTGGCAGAGGCTGGACGGCTCCCACGAGCTGTCAGATGCGGCGCCAGGAATGTTCCAGCGCACACACCTGTCCCCCAGGCCGCACCAGGCTGCTGCCCCCCCCCCCCCCCCCCGCCAATGGCCTCCATCACGTGCCCCTGAGATCTGGGTTCCTGGAGAGAGGGGCGCTGGGACCGGCACTCTCCCGGGACGAAGGTTAACACCCTCATCCACAGGGAACACCAGCCGGCCTCCATAGGCTCCACTTGGCCCTCTCCGTGCAGCGGTAGCGTGTTCATCTGTGGGTTTGTGACACCCACACACACGGAGGCCACACCAGAGCCTCCTTAGAGGCAGCAAACAGCACTTCCTGGGGGCTGAGCCCCCTTCTCAGGGGTCCTTACAGGGGAAGAGATTGGCGTCTGGCTGGCTCTTCGCAGTCCTAGTGCAGGGCTCCCGCCCCGAGGGCCCGCCCCCTCCTTCTCTGGGGCAGCCCTCCTGACCAATCAGCACCCACCACCACCACCACCACCACCACCACCACCACCACCACCACCTACACCTGCCCTTTAATACAGGGGTTTTCCTCTGGCCCAGCGCCCTTCCCTCTCAGCTCTGAGCTCTTCATGGCAGTGGCTTCCCGGCACCTGTAGCTGGTGAACAGGCGCGGCCGGTGAGGCCAGCTTTGCTAAGGGAAAAGCCGGCGTTGTTTGGGGGTGTTCACTCATCTGTTCAGTAGGCATTGAGCTTCTCCTCCACCTGCTGCTGGTCTGAACACTGGAGCACAGAATCTAATAAGCCTGGGTGCTGCCCGGGATCCTTCCCGGATGGTCAGGGAGTGGGCTGTGCTGTCCTTCGCCTGCACTGAGGCCAGCTTTGCCCCAGGGCCGTGGTCGGCAAACTCATTAGCCCAAAGAGCTAAATGTCAACAGTATGACGATTGACATTTCTTTGGAGAGCTACATTTTTTAAACTTAAAACTTCAAAATAGACTCGTCCAGGCTGTGGGATTTTGTGGAAAAGCCACACTCAAGGGGCCAAAGAGCCGCATGTGGCCCGAGAGCCGCAGTTTGCTGACCACGGCCCCAAGGGATTAGGAACAGCCTCTCCAGGACTCTGTGGGGCGGATTTCACCTGTGACAGGTCTTCGCGGGGGAACGTGGGGGAAGAGCATCCGGAGGAGGAATCTGTGTTGCAGAGGCAGGAAGGGCCTCATGAGCCCAGGAAAGCTTTGCTGTGTCCTCAGACCGGCTGGCCGGGGACAGCCGGGCTCCTTGGTGCGGGCTCCTTGGTGCGGGGCGGGGGGGGGGGGGGGGACCACCCCAGGGAGCAGGGTGTGGGTCTGTGTGTCTTTCAGGCCCGGGCACCGGGCACCAAGGTGCAGTGAGCGTCTGAGTGGGCGCACAGAGCCCCTGCTGCTCTCCTCCTGGGCTGCAGCCTCTCCTCCCACCTCCAGCCGGCGGGGACCGGCTCCTTGACATGGAGGTGCTTTCCTTCCGTTAGAATCTTACTATTGCACAAGTCACAAGTCCCACTGCCCCGGCGTGGCTGGCGGGCGGGTCGGAGGTGTGAATTAAACAATTCGAAGTCTGATGACTCTGGGCCAGGGGTGCGAGACCCGCAGAGCCCCTTGCTTCCTGTCACTGATAGAGGGCACTCCCGAGGCGGCTGATGGTAAACTCACTCCTTACAGACCCTCGAGCACCTTGCTGACGTCACCCGATAACAGCAGCAGGAAGAGCCCCTCTTACTGAGCGTGCGCTTCACAAGGATAATTTCATTTACCCTTTAGGCGGCTTTGCGAGTGGCATGCCTGCGCTCACAGCTAGTCAGGAGCTGGGGTGTGGGTCCCAGTCTTTGGGAAGCCCAAACACCCCTCTACCACCCCCTCAACCCTAGGGAGTGATCCTGGCCTGCGGATGCTGCCGGCTTTTCGCCCTCCGCCTCAGGAGACCCCCCGATCGCCTCTGGCTTCCGGGCAAGGCTCTGACCCACTCAGACACTCACCGCACCTTTATGCCCGGTGCCCAGGCCTGAAAAGACACACAGACCCAGCCAGCATGTCGCTCTCCGCCCAGGGAGCTGGAAGGACCCCTTCCCACTGCCTCTCAAAACCTCATTGTTCAGCCTCCCCTGGCCTCTGGCCCACACCCTCTCTCCTTAGCTCCTATGGCGCCCACTTCCCAACCCCAGCACCCGCCTTCCGCTCAGCGGTCACTGCTGTGCCGTCTGCATGTGGAAGGTGAGGTAGTAAGACCAGGTCTCCGCCACAGTCTGTGAGAGAGACACACGTGGTCGGGGCGTGGGCTGGAGAGCTCCAGGGTGGCATAGACTCTGCACCCCTTCCTCTCCACACCCCTCCCCCACCCGGCCACCCCCTCAAAACCTTGTCAGATGGCATCAGGAGCGACGGGAGGGAAACTGGACTCGGCTCTGAAGGGCTGAGCAGCAAACGACAGGGAGCGCAGCGCAGGGCACACGGAGAAGCCGCCCAGTGCGTGGCCTGCAGGGCGGGAAGGCGGCACGGAGGGGCCTGCCTCACACGGGCGGGTGCGGGCCTCAGTCAGCGGAAGGAAGTGTGTGGAGCCTGTGCAGGCCATGACGTATATGCGAGCAGTGATGTCGCTCCACCTCCTGCTTCCCAGATGCCTAGCATGAACCGGCGCACAGTGGGTACACAGTACATATCAGCTAACTTGCAGGGAGTGGATCCATTCACTCCATTTACCACCTCCTCACATGCTGTGGCTTCCGGTGCCACGGTGTGCCTCCACACTGCAGTGCCCGCCCTGCGCTGCGGGAGGGGAAGGGGTCGGGGTGCGACCAGGTGAGGAGCATGTAGAGCGCCTCAGAGGCTATTAACATCCGTAATGGTCCCGTAATGGTCCCGTTAGGGGGGGTTGAGTTGAGGGCTGGGGGGGGGGCCCCATTGTGGAGCCAAAGACGTGGGGCAGCCACTGGCCAAGCCATAAGCCCATTCTTTCGGGAAATAAACATCACACTTTCTCCATTTGGGCTTCCACCCCACAAGCCCAGGGCAGGGTCTGTGACCCGGGCACGGTCCCTACGGGGGCCAGGCCACCACGTGCCCACCCCTCACCAGCCGCTCACCTCTCATTTCAGCATCCCTACCCCACGGAGGATGAGAAAAGGCAGATCGCGGCCCAGACAAACCTCACCCTCTTGCAAGTCAATAACTGGTGAGTTAGCACCGTCCGCCCCCGGGCTCTCAAGGCAGAGGCCACTTGCCTGGCAAGGGAATACACAGCCCGGAGGAGAGACTAGAAAGCCTCGTCCTGCCTCGGTTGGTCGGTTGGTCGGTCGCAGCCACCACACCATGTCCTCCCATTTGGACCGGAAGCAGAAAGCCAGGATCAGTTTCATTTGCAGCTTCTTAGCGCCCTCTGCTGGGAAACTGTGCCAGGAACATCGCTGGCCAGAAAACCCAGCCCCCCCTGCACTGCAGACACAAGCGCCTGCAGCCAAGGACTGCAGGGGCCACCGGCGGTCACCTGGTCTGCCCCCCGTCCCTCCTCATGTGAGCTCAACGTAAACTGAAGCCTTCTGCAAAGCAGTGGTGGGGAGGAGGAGGAAGCGTCGGCCGTTCTGACCGCACAGGGGCCTCAGTTTCCCCTTCTCTGTGTCCAGCGGGGCTGTGAGAAGTCTGATAGGGCGGGGGGCCTGGCTGGGTGGGAGCACACACGGGAGTTGGGCTCCCTGATCTGAGCCCCCTCGGTCCTCGGAGAGAAGTCAGAGGTTAGTGCTCTCCCGTCCTCTGTTCAACCCCGACGGGTCCGAGTAGAGATCTCTGACCCTCGGGCATCCGTCCCACGCTGCCTCGTGGTTGCCAAGCGACTCCATGAGTCCTCGGGGCCCAGAGCCCTTTCCCAGCTGGGCTGTCACCCCCAGTCAGACCCAGTCTGTTGTGTCCGGTGGACCAGCTGCTGGGTCTGGAAGCAGCTTAGCCCTCTCTGCTCTCTCTCACACACACACACACACACACACACACCCCACCTCTGTGCAGGTGTGACTGATCCCACCTCCACATTCACCCCTGGGCAGGTTCATCAACGCCCGGAGGCGCATCCTGCAGCCCATGCTTGATGCCAGCAACCCAGACCCCGCCCCCAAAGCCAAGAAGATCAAGTCCCAGCACCGGCCCACCCAGAGGTTCTGGCCCAACTCCATCGCCGCGGGGGTGCTGCAGCCGCAGGGGGGCGCCCCGGGGACCAACCCCGACGGTGAGGACCGGGCCTGGGCTGGTGGGGGTGGGAGGGGGGGGACACAGCTGCTCAGAGATCCACGGGCTGAACATCTGCTCTGTCACAGCCAAAGGGTGTGGACAGACCGGGGAGGAGGAGGATTTGCATTAACAGGCCGAGAGCCATCTCCAGAGGCCGGGGGGCCAGTGGGCATCGGAGCCCACGACTGCTCCGCGGAGCCCCCTCCTCGCTCCCACTCCCGCCGGAGCGGCTCAGAGCCAGCGCCGTCCGTACACCCCGGAGAGGCAGCGGCGAGAGGGGCTTTGTTTCCCAGCCTCCCCATTGCACACCGCACAGGCACCGTTTTCACTGCCGGTCGCCTGCGCATCATGAATAATTCAATGAGCCAGACATTTATAGCTCAGCGCAGGAGAGCGAGCTGGGGGGGGGGGGGGGGGTGCATGCGTACATCCCTGCCTGCACATGTGCTGCCCTGCCTGCATGTGTGCGTGCACTTAGGCGGCCGCATGGCGGTTCCCGTGTGAGGGGCAGCTGTCTCGTGAGGGATGGCGGGAAAAGCAGGCTGTGAGCTGGGTCAGCGGGGGGGGGGGGGGGGGGGGGGGGAGTTTAGTGTTCGCGCTCGCTCTCTCGCTCTCTCTCTCTCTCCCTCTCCCTCTCTCTCTCTCTCTCTCTCTCTCTCTCTCTCTCTCTCTCTCTCTCTCTCGTGCCTGACCGTGTCACCTCCAGCTAACGCCTTCACTGTCTGACTTGCTAACGCTACAGAAGCGTTAGCAAGTCACATGTATTTAACGTGTTTAAAGCGTTAGCAAGTCACATGTATTTAACGTGTTTCCATAGGAGAGGCTAAAGGTGGCTGGGGGCGCGCTGCTGGGAGGGGCAGGTGGGGGTGCTGAGCAGGGGCTTCATGCCAGCAACTGCCAGCTCACCGCCCCCCCTGAGCCGGCCCACCGAACCCTCCGACACCGAGGCCCCCAGCCTGACCCTCCGCTCCGCTCCCCTCCCGCAGGCTCCCTCAGCCTGGACAACCTGCAGTCCCTGTCCTCGGACAACGCCACCATGGCCATGCAGCAGGCCATGATGGCCGCACACGATGACTCGCTGGATGGGACGGAGGAGGAGGAGGAGGACGAGATGGAGGAGGAGGAGGAGGAGGAGGACCTGGAAGAGGAGGCCGATGAGCTGCAGACGACGAACGTCAGTGACCTGGGCTTGGAACACAGTGACTCCCTGGAGTAGTTGGCAGCCCAACGGCACTGACCACTGAGCGGCAGCAGCGTCGTCGGGGGGTTCGGGGTGGGGGTGGGGGGAGGGGACACGGGCAGGCGGCACCGAGGAAGCGGGGCCCTCGCTTCCCAGAACCGGTAGCTTGACACAACGCAGAGGGGACACCTGCTCCTTCCCACCCACCGAGCTCCTGTGACACCCAGCCCTGCCTCCCGGCCGCGGGGACCCTGCCGGGGCCGGCCACGCAGCCCGGCGGGAAGGCGGGGGTGAGGTCTGGATCCGGCGAACCCCGAGGACATTCGGCACCAGGGGCCCCGGCGGAAGGACTGGACGGTTCGCAGCCCGCACTGAGGCAGAGCAGGAGGAGAGGCAGACACACGGGGCTCTGTCCCAGCCCCCGAGAGACCGCCAAGGGCCAGAGGGAGCGGCACACAGCACAGCCGGCCGGCGGCTGGAGGCGAGGGAGGGGCTGAGGCATCGCATGGTGCAGGTCGGAGTGAGACCTGGATTCCCGGGGCTGCAGCCAGGTCCTCCCCGGCCCACCTCTGGGCTCAGGCAGCATGGACTTGGGAGAGAGGGAAGGAGCCACCAGAGTCTGTCTCTGTCTCTCTCTCTCTTTCTCTCTCTCCCACCCTCCCTCCTTCCCTCTCTCCCTGTGCAAAGAGCGGTAAGCTGGGCTCAAATTGCAGGAGGTTTAGAGGGGTCCCTTCCCCGGGGTCTTCAGGACCCAAGGAGGTGGCAGAGCCTGAGCTGGGGGCACATCAAGGTGTGGCTGTGGGAGTGACGGCCGTTCCCAGGTGTTCCCAGAACTCGGCCCCCGAGACGACAGGACCATGGTGTCTCACCCCCGATGTGCCAGCTCAGACGGCAGAGGGTGCAGCGGGTCAGGGTTGCCTCCCGCTCCAGGCCCCCAGGCCGGCTTCCTCGGCCTCCATCCTCGCCTTCATTTCATCCTTCAGAGCAACAGCGGAGAGAAGCATTTCAGCCCAACCGGAAGCCCCGGGGTTGGAGAAGGTGCTACATCCCTCCGCCGTCCATTTCCAAAGTGTGGGGGAGGGCACCCCAGAGCCAAGCGGTGCCCCTCCCTGCACCCGCCTCGCGGGCCTGCACACCACCTCGCACACCGCCCGGGGGGGGGGGGGGGGGGGGACACGACTGGGGCTCCCGCAGGAGGAGGCCCTCCGTCTGCCCTGACACGCCCACCCCAACCTCCAGTCCCCACATCGGGCACCCCTCCTTCCACCCCCACCCCAGCGGCTGTGAGGACAGGACCGGCTGCAAGTGTGTTTCCCACCGGGTCCGCTCTAGCGTCTCCCTCAGTGGCAGGACATGAGCGGCCACCCTGCCTGACCCAAGGGGACCCTCAGCCCCCCCCCCCCACCTCATCGGGGTGGAGCAGAAGGATGGTCGCTTTCCCGAGGTCTCCCTGAAATGAATGTATTTCTCCCCCCAAAAGAGCTGATATTTAATGTTTTACTGGGGATTTTTGAGAAACAAATAACCTTATTTATAATCTTGGTGATTCGATCATTTTTTTACGCCCTTTTGATGCCACAGGTAGCAGAGAGTCTAGCTTTTTTGGCAGTGGGATAAAATACATCTCCTCTCCGGGTTCGTTCATCTTGTTAACACATAAACACACAAACTCACACGCATGCACGCACGCGCACACATACACACACACACACACCCCACTCTGGACAGGCGCCAGGCCCGGCACAGGCACACCGCACACACGTGCCCGCACACCCTCCTCCCGGCCCCTCCACCTGCCTAATGTTATGCAACCTCCCTCTGATGTATCCACCAAGCCAGTGCTGAATGTGGCTGAGAAGTTTCCAGTAAATCTTATTACCTGCCGAGTGCTGCGTGTCCTCTTTTCCTGCGGTCAGTGGGGCTGGCCCGGAGCACACCCTTTGCTGAACTGACTGCCTCCGCGGGAGGGGACGGCAGAGGGCTCTCTGGGGACCTCGGTTTCCATCCTGGGGAGGGGGACAGCCAAGACAAAGCGATGAGGGCGAGCGGACGGGAGAGAGCTCTGTTGGCACTTTCCTAATGGCTTCCCCAAAGAGTGGAGGGCGTGGCCGTGTCTCCCACCCGATTCCACCTCCTTCCAAAGGCCTTCGCTTCTCCCACCTCCATCTTGGGCTCCAAGGGTTCTCATCATTGAAGCCGGTGCCACCACTGCCTCCCCAGCCCTCACATGCCCACCCTCGCCCTATCCCAGAGAAGTCTTGACTGCCACATTCATCTTTAGATTGATTGATGGATTGATTGATTTCAGAGAGGAAGGGAGAGGGAAAGAGACATAGAAACATCAATGGTGAGAATCACTGATGGGCTGCCTCCTGCACGCCCCACCCTGGGGATCCAGCCTGCACCCGGGCCTGTGCCCTGACCAGGGATGGATCTGTGACCTCCTGGTTAACACTGAGCCACACCGGCCGGGCTTGACTGCCACGTTTGATCCCAAATCAGTGTCCCCCGGGGAGCCTGCCCTGGAACCCAGCGTTCAGCTCTCTACTCCCTGGGGCAGGAAGGAATTCAGGGGCAGCTCATCGCTCATCTCACAAGGGAGAGGCAGTCTCTCTGTGACCTTCAGCCCAGAGGTGACCTTGTCGGGCTGGTGCCGAGAAGTCTGGGGTATCGGCCTAGAGGCAGGAGGAGGAATTCCTTGTTCCTTTTCCCAAAGGCTGCACCGGGTGCATGGCCCGTGGGCATCTTAGAGCCAGGCTGGAGGTGGCTACGGGTCACTGCTCTCATGCACCCAGCCCCACCCACCGCCACCCAGCACACCTGCCGGGTGAGCTGGGCAAACAGCAGAGACCTGCCACCAGCCGGAGCTTAAAAGAGATTTCCTTACACACACACACACACACACACACACACACACTAACTTCTGGCCCGACACCCATCCCAGACCTTTCTGGTTTGGAGATTCCCACTCAAGGGAGTTGATGGCCAGAGCAATGCTTCCTTCACCACGGGACCCCTCTACTGCCCTGAACATGGCAGGATGAGGCCATGATGCTGTGATGGCAGTCCGCTTGGACCCGTCCATTCTACCTGTGTTCTCTGGGCACTGACTGTCCCAGGCAGATACCAAGGGCACAGCTGTGATCAGCAAGGACAAGGCTCCTGCCTTGAGGGACTCAATTTCGAGTAGACCGTGTGCTCAGGAGGCCCCCATCGTGGTGACACCGTGACCTGATTCTGGTCGTGGCCTTGAACTTCATTATCCTGAATTGCAAATGTGGAGCTCAGGTCAAACTCAGTTCGCCGACATGTTTTGTTTGGACCACACATTGATTTTTCATTTTTTTGTGCCAACATTTGAAAGTTAAAAGATTGCATATAGCCGGGACCGGTTTGGCTCAATGGATAGAGCGTCGGCTTGGGGACTGAAGGGTCCCGGGTTCGATTCCGGTCAAGGGCATGTACCTTGGTTGCGGGCATATCCCCAGTAGAGGGTGTGCAAGAGGCAGCTGATCGATGACTCTCTCTCATCGATGTTTCTAACTCTCTATCTCTCTCCCTTCCTCTCTGTATAAAATCAATAAAATATATTTTTAAAAAAATAGATTGCATATAAAGCCGAAACCCATTTGGCTCAGTGGATAGAGCATTGGTCTGCGGACTGAAAGGTCCCGGGTTTGATTCCAGTCAAGGGCATGTACTTTGGGTGTGTGCCGGAGGCAGCTGACGGATGTTTCTAACTCTCTATCCCTCTCCCTTCCTCTCTGTAAAAAGTCAATAAAATAAAATAAAATAATTTTTTTAAAGATTGCACATACAGATGCAGGCTCCTGGCCATGAGGCAGCTGGGGACTACAGTCCCACAGGGTTGCAGTTGGGTGTGCTTGGATCACTGCCGCCCCTTAGGATGTGGTCTCAGTACCGTGGCTGAGGGTCAGCCGCCACTGACTACCAGGCTGTCCCTAAGTGCTTGGCTCTTGGTTAGTTATGCTTCTCTCCTCTCCCTCCCTTTTTTTTTTTTTTTTTTTTTTTTTTTGGTGTGTGTGTGTGTGTCTCCGATGTTAGAGTGGTTGTTTTTAAGAAGGGAAACACTGATGTCTGCTCAATGCTCCATTAAGAGTAAAAAAATGACCCGGCCAGTGTGGGTCAGTGGTTGAGCATCAGCCTATGAACCAGGAGGTCACAGTTCACTTCCGGTCAAGGGCACATGCCCAGGGTTTTGGGCTCAATCCCCAGTAGGGAGTGTGCAAGAGGCAGCCGATCAATGATTCTCTCTCTCTCCCCCTCTCCTTTCATCTCTGAAATCAATTTAAAAAAAAAAATTTTTTTAAGAGTTAAAAAAATAAATAGTGCAGGAGGATTCTGCCTTGGGCGGGGGCGGGGGGGGGGGGAATGGAGATGACGTATTTGTGGAAGTGAAGACACTCCTACCTTCCGATTCGAAGTCTACCTGAGCCTTTGATTCAGACATCTCCACTCCTCTGCTACCTGCCTGCCTGCCCGCCTGCCTGCCTGCCCTCTGGGGCACCCTGAGCCTGGGGCCTAAAGCAACCAGGGCTGATTGCTTACAGGCAAGATCCACAGCCATCTCTTCCCGGATGGGTTCAAGGCAAGATGTCTGAGGACTTTGAAGACCACTGCTCTCATCAGAGGCGAGGTTTCTGTTTCCTTTGGAAGAGTGCCTCCTTTTCACTTCCTGTGGCTTTGTCAACCACAGTCACTCACTCGGCGAACATCCTCGGCCCCTACTGGGCGCCAGGCATGGGCTGGGGACTGGCTCCACGTTGCAGAGTACCACGGGCCCATGGGGTCCCTGAGGACGGGCAGAAACCAAGCCGCTCGCATCCCCCTCTGTGCAATTCCTCTTCGGCATCTTACTTCCCTCCCACCGACCAGGCGGGTTTTATTACCCCACGTTCGAGTGCAGGCGTCTCTTACGCTTTCCCACGTCCCAGCCTCTCTCCGGGCCAAACTCATTTAGCCCCCTTTGCAAATTAAACGCATCTCATTAGACCAGACCCATTTAGGACAATGCCCTTCAGGTGTGCGCCTCGCGGCACATCCTTCTTGGAAGACAAGCGCCTGATTTATTTCTCATCTCATTACGCCCCTTGAAATCATATGCATCTCATTACGCTCCGTGCGCCGAGACGACTTATTTCAGGTGTAGACATTACTACCCGGTATTATCAGGCAGGATTTTTTTTTCTTCTTTCATTTCATTACAAGCCTTGCAATTTATGTACATCTCATTACAATCAGCCATTTAAGACAATTCCCTCCAGTTGTGCGGGTGTCATTATGCCTTTTCATTTCAGATTTGGCTCATCCTATGGCACCCAAGCACGAGTCAGAGAGCTCACTTCAGGTGTGTATGCTAGTGGCTCCCGTCCACCTGTTATTTTGTGGGTTTGAGGGGGGAAGGGGGGTTCCCCTCATACTACAGCAAAAGTGTCATTATACCCAGCTCACGGAAGGCCTGCTCCGTCCGGCCACGGCCTCCCAGGCTCCGCGCAGGGAAAAGGACACTGGGTTCCCCCGGATTTGGCCAAGGTTCTGCCAAGAACCCCCCTGCACACGGGGCATCTAATCAGCTGCCTCCCGCACAGGGAGGGGTGAGCGGACACCCCTTCACTTGAAATTCTGTGAAACTCGAGACCCGGGGACAACAGGGCAGTGGCTTCCCAGCTTCCCCTGGGGGAGGGGCTGGACAGGCCCCCCCAACCCCCCTGCTGGAGAAGCTGAGGTTGGTGCCACTGCCCAGGCTTCTGCTGACTGGACTGCCAACACATATATATATATATTTTAATTATTATTATTATTATTGATTTCAGAGAGGAAGGGAGAAGAGATAGAAACATCAATGACGGGAGAAAATCATTGAGCCGCTGCCTCCTGCACGCCCCCTACTGGGGATCAAGTCTGCAACCTGGGCATGTGCCCTGACCAGGAATCCAACTGTGGCCTTGTGGTTCAACCACTGAGCCACACCGGCCGGGCTGCCCTTTTGACCTGCTCTCTCCCCAGCACCTCCAGGCCCAGAGGCATCTTTGTCTCCCCACCCCCTCAGCCTCCTACCCCAGGGCCCTCAACTGGGGTGCACCTCAGCGTTGCTACGCAGGCTTCTGGAGTTGCAAGCATCCAAGTTTCACTTCCAGTGCTCAATCAGACAATCCAAGGGGGGAGTGGGCAAGCAAGGTGCAGTTTTAACACACACACACACACACACGCACACACACACACACACACACACACACGCGCGCGCGCGCACACACACACGCACACGCACACGCACACACACACCACACACACACACACACACACACACACACACACGCGCACGCGCACGCGCACACACACAGGCACACACAGGCACACACACACAGGCACACGCACACACACGCGGGATTCTGAAGGCTGTCAGCCACGCCTGGCGTCAGGAAAGCACCTACCAGCACTCACTCACGCGGGGCTGAAACACCCGCTGCTCGGAGGGCCGCCCCTCCCCTTCCTGCCCGCCGATCCGAGTAGTGAAACTGGCCCCGGAGAGGGCCCTGGGGGCGGTGAACCCAGCCTGCCCACCCCGCCCGCCCAGGTAGGAGCCACGTCCACAGCACCATCAGCCATCACTGTCTTTTCCCGCCCAGTGCCTCTGGGGCAGAGACCCAACTGCTACCCAGAGCCCCGGGCTCCTCCTCCGAGAGCCGAGGGGGTGATGGAGACGAAGGAGACCCGCCCGCCCGCCCGCCCCGGATGGTGTAAGGCAGTGTTTCCCAAACTGCTCTCATGATGAGAATCACGGATTCCTGAATCCCAACTAAGAAGTGCTAAAACTAGAATGTCTGGGAACATAGAGGTAAAATTGTATACTTAACTAGTGCTCTACGCTTAGAGCACGTAGGCAGTGTTTCCCAAACTGAAGGGTCCCAGGTTCCATTCCAGCCACGGGCAGGCTCCATCCCCAGTAGGCGGCCTGCAGGAGGCAGCCGATCAGTGATTCTCATCATTGATGTTTCTCTCTCTCTCCCTCTCCTTTCCTCTCTGAAATCAATAAAAATATATATTAAAGCAGCAGCAGCAGCAGCTCTGCAAACCGCCCAGGAGCCTTGCCCTGGTCTGGGAGCGGGTTCCGCTGCCCACCACCGACTGGGAGAGGAGGCGGCCGCAGCAGGCACACTGAGACTGAGGCCCGCGATGACAGCTACATCCAGCCTTCCTCCCCGCCCGTCAGAGGGCAAGGCCAAGCTCTTGGTGCTTTTCCGGCTTGACTTCAGAAAGGAAGGGAAATAGCAGGTGGGAGGAGGAGGAAGAATGAAGAGAAGGGAGCTCTCTGGGGGGAGAGGGAAGAGGAGGGAGGAAAGGGGGGAAGAGGGAGAGAGAGAATGAGCGTGCAGACAAGGTGGGAGGGGTCCGCCGAGAGCAGAGGGCAGCCGGCAGTCAGACCGGGCACCGCTGTTGTGAGGGGGAAGCAGAGGAGGCTGTTCAAGGAGGAAGAGAGAGCGAGTGGAAACACAGCGGCCGGAACACAGACCCCCGGCTCTTGCACAAACGTGCTGCTCTGGTTCTGTGATTCACCATCCTCTTCTCCGGCAGGTTGAGAGGGAGAAGAGAACGAGGAGGGGGACACAGGGCAGAGGAGAGAGAGAAGGAGAAAGGGGGAGAGAGAAAGAAGGAGAGAGAAGGAGAGGGTGAGAGGGAGGAACTAGATGAGGCTATGTCTCTGGGGTTCTTCAGACAAAGCTATTATCAAAATGCCAACCAGCTCCTGCCTGGCTCATTTGCATATTCCATGCTGTGCTCTTTGAAGCAGGATGAATATGCATGAGGGCTCGAGCAGGGCGTGGAGCTGCTGAGCTGCGGGTTGAGGTGGCTCCTTTTCTCCTAAAAGGAAGGCACTAACGGGAAGGCAGCGGCCCCCGCCCCCTCAGTGACGGGAGGAGGAGGGCAAAGCTCAGGCCCAGACAGAGCTCCTAGCGCCCATTCTCTCCTCCCCCCCCCCCAGACATGAACCCTCAGGCGCCATCAAGACCAGGGGGGTCTCTCCTCCCTGCGGATGCCAATCAGGGAGGCTGCGGGGCCAGGAGAGCCACCGGCCTGCATCCCAGGGAATCAGGCCACCTCTGCCCTTTCCTGCCTCTGCTGCCAGGGAAGCCGGGCACCGGGGCGCCCCCTGCTGCCACTTTGCTGTGACGACGCCTCCTGCCCTCCGTGGCGAGGCCCCTAGGTCACAGCAGGTGCTCAAAATGGCCCCAGGATGCCCTCCCTGACGCCCATGGGACCGTGCACATTCACCTCGAGTGACCTGCAGGGTGACGCCTTCCCCTGGCCGGCCCGTCTCTCCCTCCCTGACCGCGAGCTGAAGGCGGGCATCCGATTTACCCCCCAAACTCCGGGGCCACACCCCCTTCCTCTGGGCTTTCTCTCTGAGATGCCAAGGCTGCCTCCCACCCTGAAACGGAAAAGCGAAGGCGGAATGTGGGGAATGGCTGGGCCGCCCCGGCCCGGCTCTCAGCTCTGCCCCAGCATAGGCTCCGCGGTGAAGGTGCCACCACCAGGATTAGGTTGGGCTTAGCTGCCAGCACCCACATCAGCCTTTCGGGGATGGACATACACCCCGTGAAATAGCCCGTGAGCCAGACCCTCCTCCTGGCTCCCAGGAGGGCCCCCTGCAGACCTCGCCCTCTGTCGTCCTTGCTGAGTCGTGTAAACAACTGAGCCTGGCTCTGAAGCTTCCTACGTCCTTGGGGGGCAGCTGGGGGAGCGAAGTGGGTTCACCTGTGACTCCCGCTGCCCGTGCTTCCCCAGGTGTGGTCCCTTCGAGTCAGGGCTCCGGCAACACCGGAAACCTAGGCCAGTGGTTGGCAAACTCATCAGTCCACAGAGCCAAATGCCAACAGGACGGCAATTGCAATTTCTTTTTTTTTTTTAATTATTTAATATAATCATCTAGTACATACATATTCTTTTTTTAAAATATATTTTATTGATTTTGTACAGAGAGGAAGGGAGAGAGATAGAGAGTTAGAAACATCGATGAGAGAGAGTCATCGATCAGCTGCCTCTTGCACACCCCCTACTGGGGATATGCCCGCAACCAAGGTACATGCCCTTGACCGGAATCGAACCCGGGACACTTCAGTCCCCAAGCCGACGCTCTATCGATTGAGCCAAACCGGTCTCAGCTCTTTATTAAAAAAATACATTTTATTGATTTTTTTACAGAGAGGAAAGGAGAGGGATAGGAGCTAGAAACATCGATGGGAGAGCAACATCGACCAGCTGCCTCCTGCACACCCCGTACTGAGGATATGCCCGCAACCAAGGTACATGCCCTTGACCAGAATCGAACCCGGGACCCTTGAGTCCTCAGGCCGACGCTCTATCCGCTGAGCCAAACTGGTTTCGGCTGAAATGTCTTTGGAGAGCCACATTTTTTAAACTTAAACTTCTTCTGGAGCCACTTCCTCAAAATATTAATAGACTCGCCCAGGCCTTGGTATTTTGTGGAAGAGCCACACTCAAGGGGCCAAAGAGCCGCATGGGGCTCTCGCGAGCCGCGGTTTGCCGACCACTGGCCTAGGGCAAAGCTCCTCCAAAACGTAATGCAAATGCCAACCGCCTGTGGGCAGGGAACGCCAGGGAGATGGCACCTCTCGCCTGGCAGGGGGGCCCCATCATCAGCAAACAGGCAGTGACGAGTGTCGGACAGGCCGTGGGGAAAAGGGACCCTCAGTCCCTGCCGGTGGGGACGGAGGCTGTACAGCCCCGACGGAAAGCAGTCTGGCGACGCCTCAGAAGATTAGGACGAGAGCTACCGCACGGCCCAGCAACCCCACGCCTGGGTAGGAATCCGAGACACTGGAATCACATGCCCGCAAAGATACCTGCACCCGTGTTCCCTGCAGCGCTGTTCACGGTGGCCCCGACACGAGGACCACCGAGTGTCCTGCCACCGAGGACCGGGGGAGGGAGACGTGGTCCATACACACTGTGGAAGGCTCCTCAGCCACAAGAACGCACGGTGTGGCGCCATTTGCCACCACGTGGATGGGCCCGGAGAACGTCATGCTTGTGACGTAAGGCAGCCAGGAAAAGCTCAGAGCCGTGTGATCTCATTCACGTGTGGGACATGGAACGGACACGCGTGAACACAGACAGCGGTGAGGTGGATGCCGGGGGAAGGGGGTGTGGGGAGAAGGGGGTCCCCATATAAGAAGTTTAGACTCTGGGGGGAGGGCACACGGTGCTGCATACAGATCTGGTCCCATAGAAACCCACCTCGGAAACCTGTGTGTGCTTGTTGCCGATGGGACCCCAATGCACTTCATACGTAAGTTTAAATAAAAGTTGAAAACAACAACAGTGGTCCAAGGGTTTTGTGACAATGCAGTTCTGGCTCAGCCAGTGGGGGCAGCCGAGGTTTTGAGTTTTTCTTTGTTTTAAAAAAACCACAACATATTTTGTTGATCTTTTACAGAGAGAAAGGGAGAGAGATAGAGACTGAGAGAGAATCATCGATCAGCTGCCTCCTGCACACCTCCTTCTGGGGATGTGCCCGCAACCAAGGTACATGCCCTTGGCTGGAATCGAACTTGGGACCCTTGAGTCTGCAGGCCAATGCTCTATCCACTGAGCCAAACCACTCAGGGCTGCTTTTGAGTTTCTAACAAGTTCCAGATGCTGTCCGCGCTGCTGGCCTGGGCACCGCACCCTGATCAGCCAAGACAGAAGGAGGGGCAATGCAAAGCCGGAGACCCTGATTGAATATCCCTCCTCCATGCTTGCAAGGAGGAAAGGGAAACTGGGGAGCCCCTGCCCCCCCCCTACCCTCCGATACACACCCTCCAGGAGTGCCCCCCTGACCCCGAGATTGCTCTGCCGCCAGCAGCCTGGAGGAGCTGCCTCCGCTGCTCCAGGCACCTGCTGGCGGGGTGAACTGGGGAGGCAGCCGCTGACCCAGATCTGACAGATGCACCGCAGGCAGTGGGACTGGGGAAGTGAGCGTGTCTGTCTCCCCCCCACCACCACCCCACCACCCCCCAATTCTGCGCCTGGTGCAAACCCCACCGCTGCGGGGTTAGGTCGCGCCTGACCTCACACCCGTGGCCCCGCATCCTTAGCCACAGCGCCAAGTTAGGCAGAACGGAAGCCGTCCTTTTGGCAAAGCCTGGTGCTCACATCCACCTGCCGTCTCCCGAGGCCCTGCACGGGCACCTGTCTGCTGCCGAGGCAGCCGGGGCTCCATCTACACACGGTCTGCTCCGCGCAGACGCCTGAGTCAGCGCTGCAGGCGCGGGGGGCAGTCCCCCTGAGCCCCCCTCACCCCGGGGAGACCGCTGCACCGAGTCTGGCTGCTATTGTCCCCGACGCGGACCCCTGGCCTCCTGTGGAGGTGTCAGGTGACCAAGGACAGATTTCCACGTGGCACCTTTCATTCCACAAACTCCGAGCTGCTCAGGGGCGGGAGTCTAATTGGATGGGACGGAGGGCCCGTCTGGCTCCGCTTGCAAAACCCTCTGCCTCGCAGCGTCCCCGCCCCTGAGCGCGGCAGCGCTGCCCGTCGCCACACGGGGGCGCTGTGACGCGCGGTGCCGGCGGCTGGCGCTGGGCCGGGGCTTATAAAAGTCTGTGTTTAAGACGGGGCTGGGGAAACCCGCAGGTTAATATCATTTCGGCCAGAAGACGGGAGGCAAGAGAGTTCTGGTGGTAACACCAAGCCGCGAATCAGCATTCACCTACCGGTCAAGCAGGGCTGGCGGTTGCTGCCCCCCCCCGAGTTTGGAGCCAGCGCGTAGCGGGCACAGCTGCTGGGCCTCTCGGTTTGCAGGCTGGGCTGAGCATGCACGGTCCTCGCATGTGCTTCCCGGGGACGGTCAGCCGAAATCCCCCTCAAACGGCTCAGCAGAGCTGCCTCCCTCCGGCCGAGACTCCAGGTGCCTGGGCAGGGGCTGCCGGCTCCCTCCCGGAGCCCATGGGTGGTCTCCGCAGCGGTGCCCAGCGCCTGACAGCGCCCCGAGCCCCCTTCCCTCTGCTAACCTCCCAGCCGCCTCCTCCTCCCACAGCCTCCCGCCGGAAGTGCCCGCCACCCGCCCTGCAGCGCCCTCTGCAGCGCAGGCCTGAGGGCACGTGGACCGCCCCTCCTTGGTTAGGACCAGGTGCAGCCCATCCATCCCGACCTCAGCTGCACCTGCCCCCCCCCCAGCCCTGACCCCTCCCCCTGCACCTGACCCCTCCCCCTGACCCTGCCCCCGGGCCCTGCCCCCTCCCCCTGCACCTGCCCCCAGGCCCTGCCCCCTCCCCCTGCACCTGCCCCCAGGCCCTGACTCCACCTGCACCTGCCCCCGGGCCCTGCCCCCCCCTGCCCCTGGGCCCTGCCCCCCCTGCACCTGCCCCCGGGCCCTGCCCCCGGGCCTGAGCCCCTGCAGCGGCCCACGCGGGCTTCTCATCCTTTCTCCGGAGGGTTTGCCACGGGGCCCGCTGGACATCACACTCCAGGGCGCGTGGAGGATATTAATTAAATGAAGGTTTATTTCAAAATCAGTGTTAAAGTGTAAGCTGCGTTTGAGGGCGGGAGGCGGGCTACATAAATGCGCGGTGAGCGGGGCCGCCTCCCTCCCCCGGACCCGGGCGGGGAGCGGGCAGCGCCGGGCCCGCCCCGTGGCATGCACCCGCGGTTACTGGGACTGGGAGCCCGCGCCGGCCCGTGTTCTATCCGGGTTAAGCTCTACACGTTCAAACACACGCCGAGGTCACGTGGTGTCATGCGGTCCCTGGGATGGAGTGACTCTGAACTCCGTGACCTCCGCGGCGGCGGCGGCGGCGAGGCTGCTCCCAAGGGCGAGGTTAGGTGGGACAGAGCACTGGAGAGAGAGCGGAGAGGGCAGAGGTCAGAGCACAGTGCGGGGGGCTGGGGGGGGGCGGGGAGGGGCAGGACCAGCTCCCACCGGCATCCCGAGCGGACAGCTGCCCCTGGGAACCGGCGGTCATCGCAGTGGCGGTCGCTCTCCCAGGAGGAAGGGCGGATGGGAGCCGGTGGTTTGGTGCCTGGATTCAAACCCTGGGTTCTGCCGCCTTAGGGAGAATTTCCAGTTCTTACCTCCCTGCTGGGCTCTTCCTGTGGACAATAGGCTGTGCCTCTGCCCGCCCCGGGGGGCTGCTCGGAGGCGGGTAGAAGGCGCTCAGTAAATGTTAATTCGTTTTATGAATTCCCTGACATTTCAGTGGGTCACGTGGGGGGCAAGGGGGGGGGGCGGCGGGGAGTCTAGCCCTCGTGTTCCCAGACTTCCAGGCCCGTTTCCATCAACCTCCTCTGAGCAGGTCCTCTGAGAGACGTGCTGCTCTTTTCAGACCTTTAAGAGTCAGGAGTGCTGCCGAAACCAGTCTGGCTCAGGTGATAGAGCGTCAGCCAGCAGACTCAAGGATCCCGGGTTCGATTCCGGTCAAGGGCATGGACCTTGGTTGCGGGCACATCCCCAGTAGGGGGTGTGCAAGAGGCAGCTGATGGATGATTCTCTCTCATCGATGTTTCTAACTCTCTATCCCTCTCTCTTCCTCTCGTTAAAAAATCAATAAAATATATATATATATTTTTTTAAAAAGTCAGAAGTGCTTCCCAGTGTTTGGCCTCCGTTCCTCCCGCAGAAACGCCAGGCATCTCCCTGGTCCTGACGGACAGGAGACGCATCAGAGCTTCCTAACGGAGCTGCACGCGCCTCTGGACGCCGCACCGAGCGGTGTGCAGGGAGGGCTCACACCGCGACGCAGAGGCCCTTGGCGGTGGATGACGTCGACGGGCTGAAGGCTTGTGTCCCCAAGATTCCTGTGCTGAGGCCCTAACCCCCGGGGGACAGCAGTTCTGGGAGATGGGAACTATTCATCAACTGTATCCTCAGGCTCTGTTTCCCCCCCCCCCCCCCCCCCCGAGAAAGAGCCCAGCCCCGCACGAGGGGCACAGTGAGCCTTTTGTTGGTGTGGCTGCTCCTCGCCTTCAGTCAGCTGGTGACTCGGAGAGCTGGCATCTCCTTCTTAGGCGACACCCCACGACGGGAGGCCTCACAACTGCCCGCTCGCTGCCCGGGCCCTGCAGGGAGCCCACACCGTCAGCCAGAGTCGGAGGAGGGGCCCGGGAGGGTCTCTGCTCCCCAGAGCTGGGCTGCTCTGACCTTTGTTTTGTGTGGGGTTTTTTTTTTAATTGATTTCCGAGAAGAAGGGAGAGGGAGAGAGAGATAGAAATGTCAATGATGAGAGAGAATCACTGATCGGCTGCCTCCTGTCCGCCTCCTATTGGGGATCGAGCCTGAACCCGGGGCATGTGCCCTGACTCGGTTCCTAGGTCGACGCTCAACCACCGAGCCACAGCGGCCGGGCCCCTTACCTTTTAGAATGTAGTCCGTTAGCAAAGTGGGCACCTTGTCGTTATCCTCCTTCATGGCGAAGAGAACTGGGGAAGGAGAGGGACAGGTGAGCTAAGGAAAGCTCGCTCACTTCCAATGCCAAACAACCCGCCCACCCAGCAGCGAGAGCGAGAAATGACTCAGGGGAGCCAGACCTTTGTGGAGCATTGAGCAAAAGTCTAGAAGCTTCTGTCCAGCGTCGGCATTCCGCATGGTGGTGGTGCAGAGCTACCAAGAGGCAGAGGCCTATCGTGGCTTTTGTTTCCTTTATCTCTTACTTTTTTTTTTATTTGCTGGTCTATAACTCCCACATCATCTCCTAAGTATATGACTTTAATAATCATACAAAAAATAAATACTTTTTTTTTTAAAAAGAATCCGTTTTCTGGTGCAGTCAACCTAAATGTTAGAATAGCAGTTGTCACATCGCTGAGTAACCGATAACACTGTCTCTAAAGACCTTCTATTTAAATATTAATGGAAAATTCCCACACCTCCAATTTATTAATAGCAAATAAATCCCACCTCACAAATCTCTGTTTCCTGTTGTGCCCAGCAGGGCACTAGAATTGGTGGAAATGCAAGCGACGCCCGGACCCTCAAGGGCCTGACTTAGGACTTCTTGTTGAAACAGGACACGACTCCACGTGCAGCAAATGGGGATGTTATTCAAGTCTAAAGGCTTCTGATCAAAATCCCTAAAGTGGCTTTTTCTGTTGTTAAACTGGGCGGCAGTGTGGCAGGTGGTCAGGCAGACATGAGCAGGGCGAGGCGGACAGGCCAGGCACAGAGGTCACCAGGGAGGGAGGCCCCGGGTGCCTAGCAACGGGCAAAACCGGGGACGCAGCATCCTCACCCTCAGGTGACCTTGCCTCCCCTGGCATGTGGCTAGTCCTGTGGGCCAGACCCCCTTGAGGGGAAGCAGAATAAGCCATCAGGACAAGGAGGTTCTGACCGTCAGACACATCCAGGCCTCAGCGGTGTGTCAGCTCCAGGCCCAGAAAAGCAGCAGAACCAGACAAGCAAGGCAGCGACTGACCTAAGGACCTGATGCTCCGACAGATCAGTGAAAGGACACACCTGGGGAGCTGAGGACTGTTCTTTTGGGACCCTCCCCTGGGACCTCCCCTGAAATCCCCACCCCTACAAGCCCTCAGAGTGAGGAGCCAGGATCTCTGCTCTGGGGGCCTTGACTCGCCTCTCCCAGCCCCCTCTCCCCCACCTCTGCCCCCAGGGGCCTCACCTTCACCCTTCCCTCCCTCCCTCCTGAGCGCCAGCGGCCCTTCTTCCGCCTCCCACGTGTTTCCTGAGCCCAATCCCTCCACAGCTCACTTCTGCCTCGGCAACGTTCTAAATACACTTTCTCTCACAGTTTGAGCCTCGCCTCTGAATTCTTTCCTACTGAGCCGAACGCAAATGCGGAGGCTGCTGAACCCAGGCCCAGCCTGACCCACCGGGCTAACACCTATTCTCGCTGCCACAGCCTCTCCTCGTGTTCACCATCCATATTGCAGAAGCCGGCTTTGTGGAAGGCCCTTCAAGAAAGTAGCTGGATCGTGTTTATCGTCCCAAGAGATGGTGGGGGGCGCGAGGGGCTGGACGTCTACCAATAGATTCCTTCACCAACCGATTCCTTAAATAAACTCCACCCCGTGTAGGCTTTATGAGAAAGGAGAGAGCTCTGTGGGTACAGGACATCCTTAACGGGGAAGGGAGAAGGCTGCAGAACGTTATGTGTTAACTTTTAAACAAATGCGATACTCATATAAATGTCTGGGAGAAGGTGCAGGAAACTGTCCAAAGTGGTTCTCTCCGGCGTGAGGCCTTGGGGGAAGCGCCTTCCTAGGTGATATGGCACAGTGCCTGGCCTTCTCCAGGGAGCACGTAGCACTTTTTTGCACACGGAGAGTAGAACAAAGATCAGCCGGCACCGGCCCGGGCAGGAGGCAGCCCTGACGGCAGAGGCACCCGTCCTGCTCCCTGTACTTGCTCTCCGCAGATTTCTTTGCCTCGTTTCAAGTCGGGGTCATGCAAGCTGATTCCAGAAACCACGGGTGGGTGCAGAACCCAGCTGGCGGTGGCAGGAGTCGGAGGCCAAGTTGGGGGAGAGGGGCGGAGCCTGAGACCCTGCCGGTGTTGTTTCTTCAGTTGTGTTTTTTTTTGTTTTTGTTTTTTTAATATATTTTATTGATTTTTCACAGAGAGGAAGAGAGAGGGATAGAGAGTTAGAAACATCGATGAGAGAGAATCATCGACCAGCTGCCTCTTGCACACTCCCCACTGGGGATGTGCCCACAACCAAGGTACATGCCCTTGACCGGAATCGAGCCCGGGACTCTTCAGTCCGAAGGCTGACGCTCTATCCAGGCAGGGGTGAAGGTGATCGATGTTTCCCTCTCATCGATGTTTCTAGCTCTCTATTCCTCTCCCTTCCTCTCTGTAGAAAATCAATTAAATATT